ATTTACCGTAGTTATTTTGCACGTACGGCTTTTCGCCGGCAAAAATACATTTGCGAGCTAAATAAAGGTTCTGCTTTGACATTCGTCCATTTTTGACATTCATCCATGCTCTGGTCCCTAACCAGAAGAAAGTGCAAGGCATTCCTGTATACGGACCGAGACCACGCCCCCCTTCCCGAACCTTCTCGCTAACTGGACGCTCGCTCCACTAACAGACTTCCGTCCTCTTCCGTCACCTGACCGTCACCTGACCACGCTCTACTTCTCGATAATTCCCGTAGCCACCAGTCCCTTCGTACTCAACACTTGACACCCCTGTCATTATCTCCCGTGACCACTAGTCCCTTCACACTGTGGTCTGACTCCCCTGTCATAATCTCCCGTGGCCACTAGTCCACTCGCACCGCAGGTAGACTCGAGTGTCATTACATCATCATTAAACATGTTTTTGTTATTTAACTTTCTTAACATCCTTAGCATCATGCCCTTCATAGAAAGTGAGCAAATTAAACTATCTCCAGAGAAATTTGCTCACTGCTGCTTTGTCAGCGACGTTGACGACACAGATTATGCATCCAAACCTGCACGTTGTATCTTTTTCTCCCAATTCCAACATGAGAATACCTTCGTTGCTCATAAACTATTTTATCCTCACCAGATAAGGTCCACTGAGCTATATATCTCTCTTACAGAAGTTACCTTGTCACAATTGATAGCTCAATAAAGTGGTTTATCACGTGGAAATTCATCACGGCAAAATCATCCAAACGCATGTTTCTAATTGTGTTCGGAAAAACCGCAGGACCAAGAGAAGAAAATTAGCACGGGGGGAACATGCAAACTAAAAAATATACAGGCTTCAGGGTCGGGATCGAACCCACGACCCCCTGCCTACCAGGCGAGGGAGGAAACATCTCGTCACCGTAGGACCCCACCTCACTGCAACTAACAATGCCTCATTCCCACTGACCAATCTGGCCTTGCGCTCAAGTTCTGTATGTCCCCACAAAGCTATAAACTTTGCAATTGAGTCGAAAGGAATCAGGGGCCACATCCCTCGGAAGACTTGTAGAGAGAAGAGTGAGTGCTGAAGATGGGGTAGGTGGGCCAACTGTGATGTGATCGTGACACCTTGCCATCACTCTCCTTGATCGAACACTAGACAACTCTTGCGTTAAACTTCATCGTAACAAATCCCAACTACGGGTACATATCTTTGTTTGTTTACATATTAGTTAATACGATAGTCAACCCGCACCTCCGATTATCAATGTTGGCTACGTACAGTTCGAAAAGAAGTTCAACATACATACATATCTGTTTGCAATTGCTGTAGCTTAGTTTTGCAATTTGTAATGTGATCACTGAAGAGGTAATCTGCCCGAGCCGATTTTGCGCTGTAGGTAATTTAATATTTACCTTTCATATTGCATTGATTGATGTTTGCAATCTCTTTTTCTATCCCTCAGATAATGGCGTTTTGGTTTTTGTTCTGATTTCTATTCCCGTCGTTGCTGTACTTTGAGGCCACGCAGTTTGTGGCTTGGTTTCTGGCATAGGTTGTGCACAAGCATGGCCTTGGCCCACTTACAACAGGTTATGGAAACATTGGAACGGCACTGAGAGAGGCAAACGAACTGTTCGCAGCTCAAATGTGCAGTTGTGTTATTAAGACATTGTTTCCTAATAAATAAATAATGATAAATACTTCCTAAAGTTTGCCTGCTTCCACTGCTGCTTGCATTGTGAACTTGTGCATGGGTGCTAACTGCAGTCTTGAGTTTTGCAGGAGTTTCCGTGATGTTTAAAATAGCACTGCTGTATAAAAAAATATAAAATTCATAATCTGCAGCTCTTTTGTCTTATGTATGTATATTTAACTTATTTCACACCTTACATCGCCAAGTTTACGGAGGCTTCCCCCACACTGTTTTGGCCATGGAGTTTGTCTGACTATGCTTCACCATACCCAGTGCTTGATATTGATGGGGGGGGACGGGGACAGGGCGAGTTCAGCTGTCAATCGCCACTGATTCCTGTCGATGGAATTCGACCTTCAAGTCACCTGGTTCAGAGTGCAGTGCACTAACCACTGCCCAATTACAGCATTCGAAAAATATCCTTTGTACACCTTTAAAGCTGAACTACAAACCACTGGCTGCCTCTATACGTGACTTTAATTGACAATCATGAAATATGAATTTATATAACTTGATTTTGTATCACACACAGGTCTTGCCAGTCTCGATTAAATGGTAGGGTTGCACTCCTTAATTGTGTTGAACCCCCTGCTCACACCACGACTGCACTTTTTTGGCCAACAGCCCTTGCAATGAGACCCCACATAACAACTTTGAGCATCAACTTTGGTTCACCACTCTCTTTCCCCCCGTATGAAATGTGCTTTAGCTGTGGGAAAAAATATACCCGATGCTATTTCGTCAAGTACACTTTGCATTTTTTGTGTGGATGGTCCTCAAGAAGAGATGCACCTGAAGACCATTTAACTCCAACCACATGTCTGAGCCAGTATAGAACAAGAGGGGAGCGTGGCTAGTTCCATGGGCCAGTACTCATCTGATCAGATATGCTGTAGGTTAGATTAGCACACCGGTGTTCGTGCCTGAAAGGTGGGACCTGTGAATGTGCACTATAAATAAAACACTTGTGTGACAGGACTGTGCTTTTTGAATGAATTTATCGGCTGCTAACATTTTATAGTCACCATATTTAAAAAATTAACTAGGTCAGTTCAGTATTTTGTCCAGAATATTATTTATTTTAAGGATCCTTTCCGATGAATGGTCCAGAGAAAGTTATTTTTTTTTCCACTTCTGCCAAGCTGATATTTGCTCAGTACTCTCTCCTGTGTGCCCTTTAGAATGTCCCCCATTCCACGTACATAGCGTTTCCCATTATCAACACCAAATGCTATTTTCCATTTGGCTTCAGTTGCACACAGTTTATCAAAATCCAAATCATTCTCACGAATCCACGGGGAGACATCACCTTGTGAATAATATTACAGATGGTTAGTCACCACGTAGAAGGGAAACAATAAAATAATAAAAATATAAAACAATAAAATTCTCACGACGTTTCGACTGCAACACAAGCAATCATCATCAGGTGTGAAAACCACAGCAACTATCTTGTGGTTTTCACACCTGACGATGATTGCTTGTGTTGCTGTCGAAACGTCGTGAGAATTTTATTGTTTTATATTTGTATTATTTTATTGTTTCCCTTCTACGTGGTGACTTTACCGAAAGAACCAAGAATATGAATCCCTGCAGTCACGAAAGCTTTAAATCAAAAGATGTGTTCTTGATGACGATGAGTAATAATTCTGGTAAATGAACTCATGTTACTTCTTTGAACGATTAATTAACAGTGGTATGTTTATTTTTTTACCATTATCACATTAATATTGACTTGAAATATATATTTTATTTAAATAAAAAATGGTCATCATTTGGTAAAAATTATATGCATTGCATGCTTCAATATTTTGCCTCGGTCTATGACGAAGCATTATATATATTTTAGACTGATATCACTATATGGTTTAAATGTGGTGACTCTACTATGGACTTTTATATGACGTATGTATGCATGCACGTTGAACTTTTGCACTGTACATAGCCAACCGTGCTTATCGAAGGTGCGGGGATGACAAAGCTTTCACCTTTTGTTAGAGATAGGGGAATCTCATGATACACAGCCTGGGATCTTGATTTTATTTTTAGAATCGATACATAATCTCATGGGATTGTGGAATTGACAGTCATTTAACTATGGGGAGGCCAAGGTAGGCAGAGCTCGGAATTTCATTTTAGGTTTTGACTGACGCTGAAGTAATATTTTTTGGATTGTGATTAAGGTTCATACTGCCCAGTTGGAATTGACACCAATACCAGCCAGCCTGCATGGACCAATATCACACTTGAAACGTATTACCTAGGCATCAGCTGTACATTTGAATTCGCCAAGTACGAATTTAAGTTGTACACAAAGATCATAAAGGGTGGAATAATTAGAGGGCAACTCACCACTTGAGTAGGCATGTGGCAAGTGAAGGTTAATCCACCATCGTCCATATACATATTATAAATCAGATTCTGGAAGACTTTTAAGACATTGCTTATACCATTGTGATGGCTGTCACAAGCCAAATAAATAGAGGCTTTGTAATATATTTTTTTCTGGCGATATTAGGAGCTGGAAAAGTTTATAACTGACACATGAATTCAGATATGTAAATTAATATCATTGTGACAACTTTCTTAATCATGCCAATTACAATTATACATGTTTAAAATAAGTGATGAAAACATAGTAATTGCATCATGTTCTGATTAATCTTTTTAATTCAAGACATAAACCCTGTTCAACTTCAGTCTGTGAGCTTGGGGGTTGAAATTAAAATGCAGTGGAGTATAAAATTGGAATGGCCAAGGTAACATTCTTGTGTCTGAATTCAGAAAGTTAATGCCAATATCTTAATAAACCCGATGACATTGTTATTGGGCCAATATTGAAACCGTTAGCAATTATAGTCGATGAATTATCTTAAGCTCTTGTCCCAACCATCATCTATGAGGCTAAATGGAGAATGAGTTTGTGTATGTATGTGTGTGTTTTTGGAAGGCGATAGTGTAGTGGTTAGCGCACCGCGCTATGAACCCGACGACACGAGTTCGATTCCCGCTCACGGTCGACGCCAGTGACGATTATCTGAACCAGTCTTGGGCCTCCCCTAGGTTGACTCAACCTCAAATGAGTACCTGGTGCGGTGTGTAAACATTGCCGTGTGCCATGCCGGCATTAATAGGTGCTGCTCGCGAGCAGCACTTTCCCCAACAGTCTGTTAAGGCTATACGGGGGATCTTTGTCGTTGCGTGTGCATATGCTTGGCTTTGCATGTGCGCGTATTTGGGTACATGCGCGTGTTTTGTGTCTGTGTGTCTGCACGTGTGTGTGTCTGTGTGCGCATGCAGGAGGCTCAGACAGACCCTGTGGTGAGTGTGCCAGAAGAGCGAAGGGAGAAGGTGCCCTGCCCGCACCTCAGCCGGCTGGTGGACTTGACACGCACGGATACGCTGTATGGTCTCTCGGAAAGGATCGTTGCCACCGAGTCCCTGTAAGCATTGGCTGGCCTCCTTGTCTGCCCTTAGCTCTAACCATTAACCCTGAGTCTGCTAACCCTTAGCTCTGACCCTCATCGTTAACCATAGCCCCTTAACATTCACCAGACTTGGATGGCCAGTACTCACCCTCTGACCTTAATCATTGTCCCTTACCATACCTCTAGCATTATCCGAGCCTCAACAAAATGTCTTGAATTTAAATGGATACTCCTTATACCGATCATAATCCTAATCCTAACTTTGATCACAAGCCTTAAACCTGACCATGTCTCTAATTATAGCCATCATAATTAAGTCTTAATGTATAGTGATTATAACCCTGCGCTACGAACCCGGTGACCCGAGTTCGATTCCCACTCACAACCAACACCAGTGACGAGCATCTGAATCAATCCTGGGCCTCCCCTAGGTTGACTCAACCTAAAATGAGTACCTGGTGCGGTGTGTAAACATCGCCGCTGGGGAGACTAAGGCGGCCGAGCATGGTGCTGGCCACCCACCCCCCCTTGTGCCGTGCCAGCGGCCTTCATCAGCTGTTTGCTAACAGCACATGTCCCAACAGTCTGTTAAGGCTATAAGGGGGACATTTTCGTCTTTGTCTCTTCCCCACCAGGGTGTTCCTGGCGGAGCAGTTTGAGTTTCTTCAGAACCAGCTCGATGCTATGATCCCTCAAGCCAAAAAGCCCTTCCTACAGCAGTTCTACTCTCAGGTGCGTTTGATACTCTGGTGTTGATAAATGTTGTCAAATTCCAAACATTACATTAACAAAAGAAAGACATCACAGATTGATCACATCAAAGCCTTGCACATAATCCTCATTAAGATTCTCATCATCATAATCATTGTCATTTGCATTGATGTGTATATTACATTGTTGCACGAATCATCAGAATCAGAATCTTTAATTATCCTGGAGAAATCTGGTAAGCTATGAAGCTCTTTTTAACAGATATCCAGTAGGGGCAGGTCAGAAAGCTACAGCAACAAACAGTACAAAATACTATTGCAGTGTAAAGTATACGAAAGGAAAGCAAATCACTAAAAATAAATACGTCAAATAGATCAAGTATGTAAGTTCAAATTGCATAAGTACACCGATGCCATGGCCACACTCCTTACCGCACCCATGAACGAGACCGCTATCGCCCCCGCAGTTATATCCCTCCACCGACGCCTAAACACACAACACATCTGCTATGCGATAGCCATCCCTGTCATCAAGGTCCCCCCATGGATTTGTTGCTGCTAACGATACCTGTTTCTCTTCACCACACTCGCCTTCCTTTCTGCTGCAGTAACCAAGGGCTTCTGTTGACACTGCGAGTCGATCTTTCCTTCATCGGAGTCTCCTCCCTGTTCTCTGCTGTCCGTTCTACATGGAATGTTTTACTCGTGGTCGTTCGTGTACACTGCTGAAACCCTCTGGTCAAGTCTCGGTTTAAGACCAAAGCTTCAATGCAGTGGAGATCAGTTGTGATTCATGAAAAGAGAAAAGTAATTTGAGATGAGAGAAAAGAAGCTAGGCAGCAGACATTCTCCCCATGCCTCTCAAAATCTTGTACGGTTATCGTAAGATATGATTTGCTTTGGACATTCTATCAATCCGATTTGTTGTGAATTTTTGTTCGAGTTAACATCTAACCCATAAATTTTGACTTAAAGCTTTCGTGACTGCAGGAATTCATATTCTTTGGGTCTTTCTGGCAAAGCCACGTAGATAGAAAACATAATAAAAAAAAATATCACGACGTTTCGATCGCAACGCAAGCAATCGTCATCGGGTGAAAAAAATAGCGAGAGAGCTACTGAGGCAGGATGTTATAAAGGTTTGAGATGGGTGTAGCCCAAGGGTCATTCGCGAATTGGGCGGTTCTAGTGAAGAAATGTGCATGTCAATGTAAGATCAGAGAGAGCTGGGCAACCTCCACTGGCTAGCAGCAAAGATTCGTTCATGAAGCCATCCAGATATATAAACACAGACACAATTTCAACTGAAAAGATTGGTACAAACTGAGCAATCATTGGAAGGACGTTATTAACCAGTTTAAGTCATAACTGGCCGTGATGTTTAGTAGTTATTTTCGACTCTCTGGTGTTTCATTAACAGGTTAAATGCCTTTACATTAACAGGTTAAATGTCTCACTAACACAGCCACCGTTGCTCGTTTTCCTTGATGTGGCGGTGGCTCTGTGATCTTACATTGACATGCTAATCTCTCACAATACAATGGCCACCTCCGCAGCGTCGTCATCGTGGAGGTAGCTCAGCTCTCTGATCTTACATTGACATGCAAATTTCTTCACTAGCCCCGCCCATTTCGCTTATGACCCTTGGGCTACACCCATCTCAAACCTTTGTAACATCCTGCCTCAGTAGCTCTCTCGCTACTTTTTTTCACCTGATGGCGATTTCTTGTGTTGCGATCGAAACGTCGTGATATTTTTATTATTTTTTTCTCTCTACGTGGCTTTACCGAAAGACCCAAAGAATAAGATAGCCTATTTTTATTTAAAGCTTTCGTGACTGCAGGGATTCATATGCTTGGTTCTTTCGGTAAAGTCACGTAGAAGGGAAACAATGAAATAATAAAAATATGAAACAATAAAATGATCACGACGTTTCGACTGCAACACAAGCAATCATCATCAGGTGTGAAAACCACAGCCAGAAAAAAATTAAATTTTAAATCGCAGCAAGAAAATTTCAAATTTGAAATTTTTCAAATTTGAAATTTTTCAAATTTGAAATTTTCTTGCTGTGATTTTCACAGCTAATGATGATTGCTTGTGTTGCAGTCGAAACGTGAGAATTTTATTGTTTTATATTTTTATTATTTTATTGTTTCCTTCTACGTGACTTTACCGAAAGAGCCAAGAATAAGATAGCTTATGTTTAAACCACAATTATTGGCCAAACACATCTCATCATGAACCGAAAAGATAAATAGTGGGCTCATGCTTTCGCCAATGGCCCTTGTTCAGAGCAATAGAAGAGCAGAGCACAATAAGGGGCACTGTCCACATATTTAGCGCATTGTATATATTCTATCATAAGCCAACGTTAACTACAATGGCAGTGCTTTGTTTTCACTGTACACTTGTCCACCGCAAACGTTCTGCTCTTCATCCACCACAGCATACACGCGCGCACAAGAAGGCCTGTCTCGCGTGAAAGGGGCTCCCCTGTCACTTTGCTGGGAGGTTACTGTGACCCTGAATGTGAAGGGGAGGGTCTACACAGTGGCGCTGATGTGTGCCCATACAGACTGTGAGCACGGTGGGCGAGCTGCGCAAGCCGGTCTACTGGATGGTGGCGGCCAAGGCCATCGACTACGAAAATGCGCTGCTGCTCATGGCCGGCGTCAAGTGGGACGTGCGCGAGATTATGTCACAGCACAGCCCCTACGTGGACTCGCTCCTCAAGGCAAGGGGACGAGGATGCCACGTGTGGCCTCATAGAACGGGGGGGGGTGGGGGGGGAAGGTGTTGTTTGAAATTAAATACCAAGGCCAATACAGTGCATGGGGGGGTGGGAGGGCTAGTACCACTCCCCTCTTCCTTTGTCTATTCATGTAACGACGTTGTCACCTGGGGAAGATAAGTTGAGCTTGCCATTGATGGTTTCCATTGTTGGGCATCAGCCCTATGTTTTTGGGATGCAGGTCTGGACCACACAAAGGTAAATTTCCCCCAAATAGCCTTATTCAGATGTTGTGGCAAGTTCTGTTAAAGGGCACCTATGAAGCTGGAATGGCTCCACGCCTGGGTGGCATTGTCTCCCGAGTGGCGGTGTTTACACACTCTATAGTAGTATCCACTGACTATAGTAGCTACTAACTACTTACACACTCTATAGTAGTATCCACTGACTATAGTAGCTACTAACTACTTACACACTCTATAGTAGTATCCACTGACTATAGTAGCTACTAACTGTATAGTAGTATTTCCTGACTCTATAGCAGTATCTACTGACTCAATAGTCATATCTACTGACTCTGCAGCAGTATATACTGACTGTAGTAGTATCTGCTGACTCTATAGCAGTAACTACTGACTCAATAGTCGTATCTACTGACTCTGCAGCAGTATATACTGACTGTAGTGGTATCTACTGACTCTGTAGTAGTATCAACTGACTATAGTAATAACTCCTAACGCTATCGTAGTATCTACTGACTCTATAGTCGTACAGTGAGGGAAACAAGTATTTGATCCCCTGCTGATTTTGTACGTTTGCCCACTGACAAAGAAATGATCAGTCTATAATTTTAATGGTAGGTTTATTTGAACAGTGAGAGACAGAATAACAACAAAAATATCCAGAAAGACGCATGTCAAAAATGTTATAAATTGATTTGCATTTTAATGAGGGAAATAAGTATTTGACCCCCTCTCAATCAGAAAGATGTCTGGCTCCCAGGTGTCTTTTATACAGGTAACGAGCTGAGATTAGGAGCACACTCTTAAAGGGAGTGCTCCTAATCTCAGCTTGTTACCTGTATAAAAGACACCTGTCCACAGAAGCAATCAATCAATCAGATTCCAAACTCTCCACCATGGCAAGACCAAAGAGCTCTCCAAGGATGTCAGGGACAAGATTGTAGACCTGCACAAGGCTGGAATGGGCTACAAGACCATTGCCAAGCAGCTTGGTGAGAAGGTGACAACAGTTGGTGCGATTATTCGCAAATGGAAGAAACACAAAAGAACTGTCAATCTCCCTCGGCCTGGGGCTCCATGCAAGATCTCACTTCGTGGAGTTGCAATGATCATGAGAATGGTGAGGAATCAGCCCAGAACTACACGGGAGGATCTTGTCAATGATCTCAAGGCAGCTGGGACCATAGTCACCAAGAAAACAATTGGTAACACACTACGCCGTGAAGGACTGAAATCCTGCAGCGCCCGCAAGGTCCCCCTGCTCAAGAAAGCACATATACATGCCCGTCTGAAGTTTGCCAATAAACATCTGAATGATTCAGAGGACAACTGGGTGAAGGTGTTGTGGTCAGATGAGACCAAAATGGAGCTCTTTGGCATCAACTCAACTCGCCATGTTTGGAGGAGGAGGAATGCTGCCTATGACCCCAAGAACACCATCCCCACCGTCAAACATGGAGGTGGAAACATGCTTTGGGGGTGTTTTTCTGCTAAGGGGACAGGACAACTTCACCGCATCAAGGACGATGGACGGGGCCATGTAACGTCAAATCTTGGGTGAGAACCTCCTTCCCTCAGCCAGGGCATTGAAAATGGGTCGTGGATGGGTATTCCAGCATGACAATGACCCAAAACACACAGCCAAGGCAACAAAGGAGTGGCTCAAGAAGAAGCACATTAAGGTCCTGGAGTGGGCTAGCCAGTCTCCAGACCTTAATCCCATAGAAAATCTGTGGTGGGAGCTGAAGGTTCGAGTTGCCAAACGTCAGCCTCGAAACCTTAATGACTTGGAGAAGACCTGCAAAGAGGAGTGGGACAAAATCTCTCCTGAGATGTGTGCAAACCTGGTGGCCAACTACAAGAAACGTCTGACCTCTGTGATTGCCAACAAGGGTTTTGCCACCAAGTACTAAGTCATGTTTTGCAGAGGGGTCAAATACTTATTTCCCTCATTAAAATGCAAATCAATTTATAACATTTTTGACATGCGTTTTTCTGGATTTTGTTGTTATTCTGTCTCTCACTGTTCAAATAAACCTACCATTAAAATTAGAGACTGATCATTTCTTTGTCAGTGGGCAAACATACAAAATCAGCAGGGGATAAAATACTTTTTTCCCTCACTGTATCTACTGACTCTGTAGCAGTATATACTGCCCGTAGTGGTATCTACTGACTGTAGTAGTATCTACCGACTATAATAGTATCTAATGACTCTATAGTAGTATCTTCTAACTCTACAGAGTGCCGTGGTGAGGCCTAGTGTCGCCGGCCTCGGCTAGATTGCCCAGATGGCCGAGGTAGCACCTTGGCCGGCTGGGGCTGGGCTGCTACCCCCCCCACCATCCCCCGGCCGCTCCATAGTAGTATCTACTGACTATAGTCGTATCTACTGACTATAGTAGTATCTACCGACTCTATAGTAGTAACTTCACACATTGGGGTGGGGGGGTGGGGGACATCACACAATTTACCTCAGCGTTGTGCTTCTGTTTTTTTGCGTTAAGCTTCGTAATAACAATAATAAATCGTTAATTTAACTACTTTACATTTTACAAATAGCACTTTTTAGTTCGGTGGCTTATTGTGTCGTATCTGTGTACTTTGTTGAGACGTTAACCCAACAGTTTGTCAGTTAAAAGCGTCATAAAGGGTGTGCGCAGACAGACAGACAAAAAATGACTTTTATATTTAAGATATTAATCATACATGTTTAACGTTTGTTGCCAGTTGACCCTATAGCGGTAAAATCCCACGTAATTTTGCCTTGACAGCCTTTCGGAATGTAGGTTGTTGCTCGATCTCTGACATTCGGGGAACAGTTCTGTCGCAAGTCACAACCACTAGAACCTCCTCGAAGTACCTAAAGTACTCGGTTGTGAACACAGCCCAAGAACTGCGTCTTTGTTAATTTAAATGACTATCTCCAAACTGGTGTTAACTCGGTGCATTAACTACGCATCTGAGCCCGAGTCGGACTCGGGAAAGCTCATGCAAAGTATGGACTCCACTTGTCACTGGGGCAGTAGCTGATGGCAGCGCTCACGTGTGTGCATGCCACAGGAGTTTGAGGCGTTCAGCAGGCGACTGGCAGAGATATCCAAGAGAGTTCGCATCCCCGTGCCGGTCTCGAACGTACTGTGGGAGCATTGCATCCGCCTAGCAAACCGCACCCTGGTGGAGGGGTAAGTGATTCCATGTACACGCACACAGCTACAAATGCAGTGAGTGAGGAGTTGTGTGTATTCTTTGCTTGATTTATTTCACGATACATAATGGTTAATTTTTGTCAAAGCAGTATAATTTTCCAAAGAGAGGGTCAAGTTTAAGCGTGAGAGGACGTCATGCCAGAATGTAAATCAGACACTTAAACCGTTTTAATTTAATTTCTCTCTTCGCATTCTGTTATTGTATTGTTTATTCACAAAGTTCCGGAAATAGTACGTTGGAGTCTATTTTAGTTTTGTTTCGGAGAGTCAGTCGGCTTCTTGTTAAACCTGAAAATTGTATTATTCTTTTTTTAATGGAAATTACAAAACCTCTACACCAACCACATAGCAATTTTACCACAAAGCTTTACATTCCCAAAGCAATTGTCCATATGTTTTTTTTGAGCAAGAGTGGCAGCGATAGACTTTAAATACAAAATAAATAAATAAAGAGATTGCCGTGCTGTATACCAGCATGATGAGCGTTAGAATGTGAGCTGGCACGCAGCATGTGTATCTTTGTGTTTGTGTGTTTACATGCACATGCATTTCTTTGTGCAGTCACATCCTGTGGTACAATAGCAACTCCCCCTTATAAAGCACTGGCGTTTTAGCTGGCTATGCATATGGTCATTAAAAGCAGGGTTTGGGGTACTGCAATCGTTACACTGACTCATACTTGATTTTTTTTTTTACAAACATGAACAATTCCCGCAGCGATAGTTTTTAGATCTGCGGCTACACTTGTGGAACGCTAGATCATATCGACGGAACTTATACTCGGTGTTTATATAGGCGTCAACTTTTTAAAATATATAGGCTTAATAAATAAAGATGAAAGGGCTCGGGAATGAAAACAATAACACAACATTAAAACATAACCTAATGCCCTGATGCACCGAAATAAGAACCGTGATTATATTATATAAGGCCCTGTGGTGCTGCCGGGACCTTGGTGGGTTTAGCCAACTTGCGGTTATGTAATTGCTTGAAACTTGCTTCATCAAAATAACATTTTGTCCGGTGGGATGAAACCAGGGGCGGAGCCAGGATTTTCAGCCCGGGGGTGACATTCAACAAATGTTAATTTCAAGAATGATTAGAGAGTCAGGCTGTTGAACTGGACGCCATCGGTTGGCGACACGCTCTGACAATGCAGTTACACGGAGTCCGCCAGACCGAGTGTCGTACACTTACACGCAGAATGTCACCCCTGTCACCCCCCCTGGCTCCGCCCCTGAATGAAACCACAGATTCCATTAGATAAATATCGTGGGATATAGCCAATGCACAGCTGTTCCTGAGCCACTGGATGTGGAAATGTTAAGCATTAGGGTGGCGTCCCTAAAAAAGTGGAGCTGGGCTGTGTTTGGGTGAGATAGTTGCGTAAATAATTTCTTCATTTACCAACAATGGTGGTTGTTAATGGTACATATTAATAATCTGGATTAGAAACAAGCTAAAAAGGTGGTCTTGGAAAAATGTAGTTCCAGTCCTGGCTGCTCTGGGACTATCAACGTGCCCTGTTCTCTTTTTAAAATTCCTTTGCATTTCTAAATCTGAGAAACATTTTAGTTTTTAACAGCCAAATCTAAGGGATTTAGACTACATATATTGTATTCTCAAGTAATGTATGTGTTAAAGTTAATGTTCGTTACTCTACAATAAATGTTGCAGTTAAATAATCTTTTGTCGCTATTACAAGATAACACAAACAAGACCGGCCACAGAGTTTAAGGTTTAAGGGTGTGGTGAAGGATGGAGGTGCATTTGGTGGTTTTAACGATTTCCATTAATATTTTCAGTAAAACATATTGTTGGTCTGCGTGTCACCATGAGAAATTAGTTATACATAAATTGGTAAACAGAGATTGTGTTTGTTTAATTGCTGAAATAAAATGGAATGTGATTCTTCTAAACAATGAATCTTTCCGACCAGAATTTTCCAGCAACAATTATTTAAACAAGACAAATCCTAGTCTCATTTGCAGTGCATAGCTTATTAAACCATTGCCGCTGGATGGCTTGGCGTTTTGGACAAGAGCCTTTATACGACATCTTGATGTCCTGAGTCACATTCGGTAAGAACCAGCAGCAATTATCCCAATGCGGTTCAATTTGGGTAATGGGTTGAGGATCAGTCAGACAAAGACTGAGTACATGGTGGCAAATTTCAGTGGAAATAATGCAGGAGGATTGTGAATTGGACGTGACCGGTCAATGAAGACGAACGAGTTTAAGTACCTGGGTGCTGATAGATCACTAGAAGGAGAGAGAACAAGAACAAGGGCTGGATAGATGAAATGGCGAAAGATGAAGGATGTTGTGTGCAATAATAGGGTCCCAGTTCGGTTGAAGGGAAAATTGTACAAGACGGTAGTGAGGCCGGTGCTGTTGTATGGGGCCGAGTGCTGGGGCACAAGAAAGAGGGAGGACCAAGCTTTGGCAGTCACAGAGATGAGGATGTTGCGGTGGATGTTGGGTTTAACAAGGAAGGACAGGGTGAGAATATGAAGCAGTGGGAGGAAGACTCAAGGTGGTAGAAATCACGGAGAAGAAGAGAGAGAAAAGGATGGTGTGGTTTGGTCACGTGGAGAGACAACAGGACAATGATGCGGGTCAGAAGGTGCAAGTGATGCAAGTGGAAGGAAAGAGATCAAGAGGAAGGCAGAAGAAGAGGTGGGGCGATGCGGTGCGATCGGACACGGTAACCCGAGGAGCGTAAAGAGAGATGGTGCAGGACGGGGCAGCGTGGAGAAGGTTGGCAAGGACAGCGGACCCCCACATGAGTGGCACAGACGCGTGGAAGATGACGAAGATACCGACGCTCGTGGCCCAGCTCGGATTTGAACTGTCCGTGCTTGTGAGTGCAGATTCGCGAGCGCCAAGAAGTGCAGCACGGAGGGACGAGCGCTCATGCAGCTCGACTTCCAGCAGTTCCTGCTCAAGCTGGAGCGACTCACAGACCTCCGTCCCATCCCAGACAAGGACTATGTGGAGACGTACATCAAGGCCTACTACCTGACCGAGGGGGACATGGAGCGCTGGATCAAGGAGCACCGGGTGCGGACGCCCAAACACACTGGGCATCTTAAATTTTGATTTAAAGCTTTCGTGACTGCAGTCATTCATATTCTTAGTTCTTTCGGTAAAGTCACGTTGAAGGGAAACAACAAAATAATAAAATATATATATAAAACAATAAAAAAAACTCTCACGACGTTTCGACCGCTGTTTGTGTTATGGTCGAAACGTCGTGAGAATTTTTATTGTTTTATATATATTTTATTATTTTGTTGTTTCCCTTCAACGTGACTTTACCGAAATAACTAAGAATATATAATACACTGGGCATCTGTTTAGAAGAGCTTTATAGCTCATCGGATTCTTCCAGTGTGAATAAAATATTCCGACACGCTGATGTGTCCCGCCAGCCTCATCAGCTCCTCACCCCCCCGTAGCCCCTTCGCCAACTTCCCACTCACTAGCGCATCAACTACAATGTCTCTCATTAGTTTGACAATCCTTCGGTGCCTTCACAGCAGGTCAAGTAAGTGTTCTTTCCTCCCTCGGATGAGTGTCTGCCAGTTATCAATTCTGAGCCTGTGATGTACATTACACCTTTGTATTCTTGAGACCAATCTGTCCAAAGGACAACCAGCGGAATTAATCATTCTTCCAGGAAGCATTTATACATTTGTTGCACGCTCGTCTGTTTTAAGCTCTAACAATTGTTAAAAGATCTTTCACAATGTATGCATGTGAAACTTCTTTCACACTGTACGTCGCCAACCGTGTTAATCGGAGGTGTGCGGCCTTCATGAAATACAGGAAATGGATTCGGTAGCTCCCCCCATGTGTTGTTCATCCATACGCCTTCCCTCTCACCCCTCCTCCTCCCCCTCCTACGCACCAGGAGTACTCGTCCCGGCAGCTGAACAGCCTGGTGAACGTGTGTGTGGGAACACACATCAACAAGCGCGCCAAGCAGCGCCTGCTCACCGCCATTGACGAGTCCGATCGCCCCAAGCGCTAGTGCCACGCACCACCCCCCCCCCCCCCCCCCCCCCGCTCCGCAGGTTGCGTCTCGCACACTGGGCTGAGCAGCACGACTTGCACCTGCACCTCGTCCCGAGGACAGGGCTGGAAAGGGGCGCACGTGCACAATGCTTTGTTCTTCCAGCACAATGGTTTGTGCACGTGCGTGTATGGTGAGGCGCTGTGCTGTGGATGCGTGAATGGTGGCGCATCATGCGGTGTGTGTGTGCGTATGTTGGTGCGCTTGCTGCGAGTGCGTGCTTGTGGTGGCGTGTGAGTGTTGATGCACCTGTTGTGTGTGTGCACGTGCGCGCGTGCGTGCGTGCAGGTGGTGGTGTGTGTATGTAGGTAGGTGTATGTGGAGGCTGCACATGCTGGTGATGTGCGTTAGTTGCACTTGCCGAGAGTCTGAGTTTTCCTTACAATCCCATCTAGCAGAAGACTTGTCAGATTATATAATAACTTAAAGCTTTGCTTTCTGCGTCCGTCCATGTAGTGGGTTTATTGTTATTATTTTTCCACGCAGTATGGCTGTTGAAAGTTTAAGTGGGAGAAATGCAATTTGCTCAGGTGAAATGGGAAATAAAATAACTTTTTTGGGCTCTCCAGTGGCACACAACGGTTCGTGTGATTCATAATTTCGGCCAAAATTTTTGTTGCAAAAACCCTCCACCACCCGATGCAGCCAAACAAATTCAATTGTCATGTCAACAAACAATTAACGTGATAATTATCTTTGTTTTAGATCACAGGTACGTCAAAGAACATTTAGCACAACCAAATGTGAAAATAGATGTATTTACTCGCTGAAGTTTGGTGATAATTGTTGAAAATTTGGTATTAAACTCACTGGTAAGCTGAAACTGTAATAATTTGCGTGTTAAACGTTTGCACACAGATGTCAATTTAATATGTTTGGGCATTTCTGGTGGTGGAAGGTTTAGACAACACAAATTAGGTCGGGTCGTTCTGTGGTCTGACCCCAAAAAATTATTCTGAATCACAATATCGGCTGTAAAAGCTGATGTGCTTCAGTTGGTGGACCTGTTTTTATCATCTTTTTAAGATCTCCGCGTGTATTACGATGGGATAAACAATTTGTGAATTACATGGGAATACATTTTTGTTAAAATGTGGCCAAAATGTACGATCTCATGGAAGAAATGCACCCATCTTCGCGAAATGCGGAGTTTCTCCCAGAGCCTTGTTTTACATCAACGGTTGTGCTGTATATAACTTTCCCCAGTGCATATGAACATGGACTGCTGTCAGAGTAATGATACATAGGCACAAGCAGTTTGTTTGGGTATGGTGCCTATAATCCAATGACTTATGAGCAGGGTTAGTGGATCATGTCGATATTATGGTGTGTAGCCGTAAGGCACCTGGAAAAGCACTCGAAAAAGTGCATTTCTCACTGATCTGCTTCAAGTTTGAGTGTTCTTCGCTCATTTGCGTGGGTTGTCTTCAGCCTCTTGAGTTTCCTGCCACGCACAAGAATTTGCAATAAGACATTGATCAAACATGCTCCGCAAGAGCTTTGTGATATTTTATTCTTGAGACGCAGTGATGCTTTCCTGGCCAAAGCATTACTTTCAATGTCTGTATTGCAATGTATTTGTTGACGTGTAGTTCGTGGTCAGTGTATTGGTGCGCATCCAGTGGCTGCAGGAAAACACTAGGAGCAAAGTTGAACTGCTTTGATGGCTGATGGCAAAACATAAATTGAGGATTTAAGAAACTTTAACAAGTGTTAGAAGTATAAAATAAATGTTGTATCTTGATGAGATGGGACCACGCCTCCGAGTCTGTTGTCGCAGTTTGAAGCGTGCATGAATAATTTTACGAGCTTCATTGCAGTTCATTTCACCAGCTTCACAGCCATCGCAACCTGTCTCAGTGAAGCAAACATCGGTAGGCATGTAGTGAATCCTATGGCGAGCACAACACTATGGCATAGTCAAAATAATGAATGGCATTACAGTACTTACAAAATAGGAGCAAACCAGAGAATTGTCTGGGAAATTTCGAACTATTTAAAACGGCACATTTCCAAGTTTTTTTATCGAAATGAATTTACTTGAGGCCATTGCTTGTACCTGAGACCTCTGACACAGATCCCAGGTGGGGATGTTGATCTCAGCTGACAACTAGCTGCATGTGCCTTGTTTACTCTGATGTCTGGTGTACAAATAGGATGCACTTGTGCCCTGCTCGGCTGCATTGACAGTGCATGTAAATTGTATAATCTATGAAAATGCCCTTGGTGACCCATGTTGACTGTCAGACTGCATCAACCCAACATGGAGTAATGCGGAGGTGGTGTGGTATTCACTGGTTGTATGCAAGCAAGGAGCATGCAGAATGTGACAATATCTAACGAGGACAGTTGGTATTGCAGGATGCTTTGTGCTGAAACTCGAACGTTCACGGGTCATACAAATCAAACAGGTTCCACATTACTAATTCATTACTTTGGTTACCTTTTTACTGGACTGCGTGTGAATGTGCATACTGTAGTGTGTGTTTTTGCGGGGGTGGGGTGGGGGGCGGAAGGCGGATCTTGTCTTTGTTTATTTGTGTGTGTGTGTGCTTATGTGTCTGTCCGTGCGGTCAAGTGACCCCTGGATCACCGCGGTATTCACACCTGATTTATGGTGGGGGCTACTGCCCACCCCAAAGACCTCCCGAGACAGCTGGCTGAAGTCCACAGCCACTGACTCCAAACAGCGTGGAGCGGATTTGGGACTTAACAATCTAGCACCTTTGAGACTGCCTGCTTCGTAGAATGTGTTTCATGCGCCGTGCGAAGCTTCTCATTCGCTGAGCACAGCGCAATGGGAGAACTACAAGCTTAGCTTTTGAGTCCAATTTGGAACGACAATCTGAGTTCCCTCCACACAGTGCCCAACGGACAGGACTGGGACGATGATGATGATGATTTTTGTATCGTGGATGGGCGCAGAAAGCGGTACTCTTTTGACTGTGCACCACATGCGCAGGAGGAAATTAGGACATGCACTCGGGTGGATGATTGCAGTTTTGTTGTTGTCGTTTTCCCTCGCTTAGTTGCTCTTAAGTTAAAACAAAGGCTTGTTAAAATAATTAAAAACTAGCGCAGATTTTCACTGACCCCTCCCCCCCGGTAGGTAACTATTTGCGACCAGAAATGAAAGCAGCAAACGCTAATGCCTGTGGGATTTTCAATCCAAGGCAGTCTGTATATCTTGGACTTTTTTACGTGAAACAATTCGTGTTTATGTGTGAATAACATTCCAGATTAATATAGGGAGTGTTAACACATATGTGAAATTGTTAAACTGTATATTTGTGATCGGGGTGAATTATGGGTATTGCGGGAAATTGCAAATGGTAGAAGGTTATACATTTATTAACGGGTGTGTAATTATTCAAGTGCGTAATGGCATCTGCTATTAAACATCTCTAACATGTAAACAATACTACGGTGATACATCGATGAACTAATTGTACTTACTAGTTTGTGAATATGACAGCATTTGTAGCTGCTACATCATAGTAATGAACAATTGGTAATGGAACAACATTCAATGTTGTGTACATCTTAAGAAGAGGTAGTGTTTTGCCTGACATTGCTCCAACATTTGTATTTGGGCCCGTTCACATTGACTTACATCGGATGCCTTATTCTTCACAATGTTATCACAATTAAAATGTATCTTGTCTGCAAAATGATCATGTACATTTTGTCTCATTCCACTGATCGTCAAGTGCATTGGCATTCCAATAACGATGTTCAGTTCTAGGTAAAGGCTATGTAACAATAAATACATTTTCAGCAAGGTATCCATGCGTCCCTATGTTCACGTGTGCCTGGACAGGTCTGGCAAGCTTTTGCTTTGAGGTGAGGTTTTCCGAGCTCACAGGTCTGGGCAATACACCGAAAGGGTGGCATCATTTTGTTATGTTGAATCTGAAAGTCAAACAAGCATTGTCTACTGCCCATCGAAATTTACACTTTGGACACCCTTGCGAACAAGATGCTCCATTTCAAGGGATGTTGCAGGTGAACATTTTGAATAAATGATTAATCACAATTTGCAGCTCTGAGTTACCGGTGGAAATTATACATTCCTATGGCAGAGAACAGTCATTGAATGGGACGACCAATGTTGACTTCCTAAGAAGTAGTTATATTAATGACTCCAGAGAAATTACTTTCAGAGTTGATTCCACCAGGATTTGAACCAGAAACCTGATTGTGAGTCGTGCTTTTTTTTATTGACACCAGTATCTGCCAGCGCTACTCAAGGTTTTTCTCATTAAAACCTTTATTAATATAGTACAGCTGCAAGTGAATGCAGTATAACACATTAGAAGTGTGTTAGGCTGACAGGTATAAAAATATCATGTCTTGGCAGGACAATAGCCTACCAGGTAACAATGATTCACCAGCCTCTCTCAACATTACTTTTAACCCCTCACTGCCACACGCAAGAATAGAAGTGTCAGCAGAGTTAACCCCAACCCCTCTCCAGCACGACTTTGTCATAATCAGTTTCAGGCGATGGGGAGGACGCCTCAGCAGGTACACAATGCCCCACGTGACACAAACAGGAGCACTCCACTCTTTTCGTCACCCTTTCCCAATCAGTTCAAAAACACATCAGACATCTGCGGTCTATTGAGGCTATCAGCAACAAGTTTCTCACAGCGGGCATGTCGCTGACCACGCCGACATGGGGCCAGCAACCCAGCCTTGTCCTCGGATGACAATCCTCTAGGCTACAGTTGGCAAGCAAAATTTGTTTTGAGTCCGATGAGGTGGGTGAGGAATACCTTGACCCCGCATGTGACGCACAGCAAGACAAGGCGATGAGCAGAACATCCCTGAGGAGTCTGATCTTTTCCAACGCGGATGCAACATTACAGAGCATGACTGTGCCAGACGGAGGAGGCATCCTCGGCTGACGAGGACACGCCAACCGGTGGAACTCACGAAACAGCGCAGCAACGGAGCCTTCCAGCTTCCTACGACCTGGAAAGTTTTTACTGTCAATGGGAGTTGAGGGACAAATTTTTTTTTTTATCGTGGATAAGTGGAGTAAACAATGGGTCAAAACCAACTAATTTGTACGTATAAGAGGAGTGTTATAGTATACGTATGCCGTGTAGGATTGAAGCGTCAGTGTTGTATATCTTTCAGACTGTAACAAATGGAAATGGGTCATTTAAACGTGGAATTGAAAGTCTGCAGCAACTTGATGTGTTTGATGCCTTTGAATTAATTTCCTAAAACGTTTATGCTGGCCGTAGCTTAACAAAACACAAAGTTGAACATGTTCAACCGCGCTAATCGGGTTCGTCAGTGCTAAATACAGCATGTGAGCGGTAATTAAATGATTGTATTAGCAAATTACGGGTCACTCTGTCTCCGTACTCGAGCCAATAGGCACCGGGGAACCTTTAGTGTGAAGTAAGACGACCCCAACTTCCAAAGTGTCGCTCTGTGAGCCCTTGTTGGCGAATACGCAATGAGAGACGTTCAGTCTCCACGCGGGTACCAAGACGGAGTCGAAGTCTCACCTCTTGCTTGTGTTGCGATCGAAACGTCGTACTCTATGATTTAAAAAACATATATATTTCTACGTGACTTTACCGAAAGAACCAAAGAGTATGGATTACCTGCAGTCACGAAAGCTTCAAATCGAGTTTCAAGTAAAACATGTCATTTTTACGAGACATTGTATTTGCTTTTTCATTGATTTGATACGCATAGCAGACCCTTTTGACGCACGCACGCTTTTATTATTATGGCAGAATACTTGGTGTTAGCAAAAAAAAATACATTAAATATAATACAATAGTAAAAACAAAGCTGTAACAATATTCAGTGACTTAATTAGTGTTTAGTTACTACAGCTAGGATCGGCATAACTTACACGTTTTACACACACCACTCCACGCGCGTACTTACAATCAGTGTTACACAGTGAATACCATACAGTTGGCTCCGAATCAATGTTGGTATCTTGAGACCAAAAGTGAACAGGGCATGTTGTACTGTACTGCCCTTCTCTTCCTCACCTCCCCCCAGGTAATGGGGGGTGGGGAAGGGGGAGTTGAGGAACGTCAATCCCCAAACCACATCCCACTTCATGAAAAACAATGCAACCAATTTCAGAGGAGGAGCCGTGCCTGCAGTCACCGTCACGGGTGATTATTCATCCATCCGTAGCGACGTCCTGCGAGACCTCGTGTCTCTGAACACGCGGCCGAAGGGGCCCCCTCCGCCTTTGCTCATTCACAGGATTGCGGTGTTCATTACCGCAACGGGCGGGCAAATGGGATCAATGCGGCCAGCCGACATGCGTCGAGTTGATGTCGCGCATTGATGTGACTGCTCAAGAAAAGGCGCACCACGGGAGAGGGCGCGGGGCATCTGAGGCTGTTGAACGGCAGACGGCCCCCTTGTTTGAATTCGAGGGGGCTTTGTAAGAAGACAAAAAGGGCCACTGCCCAGAATTGCGTCTCTTGAACTGGGTCGGAAGTGTCGCATCGCAGGCTGTGATAGACGTGGCCTCCGAATGTCTCACAAATGCCAGCAACTGGCCCACACCAAGCTTACTGACGCTATCACTCTCACATCGCCGCTCGAGATTTTCCATATGCAGTTGTCAAATCGGGATGCTCCAAACCAGTTCATCACCAGTCAACATCACAGCACCGGGGGGTGTGCTTTGTCATTCTCTTGCTTTTAATGATACCGCTTAAGATATCCAAAAGCACAGGTGTATATAAGTGACAGAGAGTAGCATTAAGTGTTTTTGTCGCGGAGAGACCAGGGACAATAAACACCTTGATCTCTACCTTGTCTCGCTGATGTTTGTACTGGGTTTTTAGCGAAGGCTGAGCAAAATAAAATGACGCAGTGTAATTTTTACTCGAGCATAACAGATTCCCACTGCCACCTTGCCATCATCGCTGTGCCTCCTTCTGCACGAACTGCGCAAAGTCATTTCAAGGTGTTCATTGCATATACATGAAAATTGTTGAAAATGTTGGGTGTTGATATAACTCATAAACCTCGGTGAACGTGAGGTCAATCATCAAACTCAGCTCAGCGGGCAAATACAATTGCACTTTGTAACATAGTGATTATGACAAATTCTATTAAACAAGACAGCCCTTATTGCACCAATTTTAATATAAAATCCTTCATTAGAATTCGTTAAAATATAATTGGTCACTCCCCAAATTCCTATGAAATAAATTGTGAAAATATATTGCCAAAAATATTTGACCTGTGAATGTTTAAGAAAATCTGTAATTAATATAAAAAATTTATTAAGTTTATTCTTTTTTTAAAGTACGCATACGATACCAACGTGGAATATCCTTCACAATACAGTGAAAACTCCAAATTGTAAAAAAAAAGTATTTGGGCATGAGGTGATCGTGACGCAAAGCTTTGCAAGTCGCTGCTAAGCGATTATGTGCTTGCTCAGTTTAGATTTCAAACACAAGCTGATGTTTAATGCCTGCAAAGGCCCCCTCTGGTTGACAGACATAATAATAATGTCGAAGCAATGTTACCAACAGCCATGCCAGTGTCAGTGTGCTGCTGCTGCTGCTGTAGCTGCCTGTGGTTGGCCAGAATGGAGTTCTGTGCAGGCTGCTTTGGCTTTGAAAGTTCCTCCTCCACCGACTGGCATTCCACAGCAGTGAGTGCCGCGTTACTGATGATGGCCCTTTGCGTGCGGCGTTTCTGTATTTCGTTCAAATTGCTTTGTCCATTAACTCAGACTACTGCTTAATAAAAGAGAGACTATCCACTGCATGAGAAACAGTCGTAGTTTATACGATTACATTTTTTTTATTTATTTTACCAGGTAAGGCCCACTGAACTATATAGCTTTTTTTCAGAAACGACCTGGTCACAAATGATAGCGCAACTAAGTGGCTTATCATGTGCGACTTTATAGCAGCCAAATCATCTAAATGCATGTTTCTAAATGTGTAGGGAAAGACCAGAGGATCCGAAGGGAAATCCACGCGACCACGGGTCAGGATCGAACCCACGACTTCCTGCAAACCAGGCTAGGGAGTTAACATGTCGCCACCACAGCACCCACAAAATAAAAAAAATATATACTTATATATTTCTGTATAAAAATAACAACGGTAAAACAAAACTGGTTGCTTTACTAAAAACACAAGCTTGCATTAAATGGTCATAAAACGCGTGGCTGCGTGTAAGGGGGGGGGGGGGGGGGCATTGGCAAGCATAGCTGTGTTGCTTCTGCTGCATTGATGAGGTCACTATCATAAGGCGTTTCCTCCATGGTGACTTTTCCCTGCAGGAGTTTCCACCCCGCCGTGCTCCTCACTCAATGCCAAATGCCAAAGGTGAATCCATGCCCGGGTGTGTGGACAAAAGGCAACGGCACCCATAGCAAACCCCGCGGCTGTGAAGGACCTGCTGTGATTATCTTGCCGAGTGCATTATGGGCCAAAACGAGACTCGTACTTGACGCATTTGAAATGGCACTTGGGAAATGATGGCCGTCATTGATAACTTTCATTTTTCTCCGAGAAGCCAATATAATAGGTAAATTTAGAACTGTCTAGTTTTTCATAACCTGAAAAAAAAACCCAGAACATGCATTCACGTTGCTTAGCAATCACATATGCCTGTAGGTAATTGAGGAGATGGTCATTGATTCGCTCATCACACAAGAGGCGTTAAGACGGCGGTGACCAGCAAAACCTAACGCTAAGTGTCACACTCGCACGTGGATACTGGGTGAACCTCGCCACTCCAACGATGGAGACTCCACAACACAAACACCTGCACCCACACCGAGGACCTACTGCAGTGGGCAGTGGCGGGGGAGGCTCAGACATGACCACGGCGTAACAAGTGGCAGCATGTTTCACTGGCACGGGCAAGTGCTGGCAGGTCGATACGTTTAATCTTTTAGAGAAACGTGGTGGATCAATTTCATTGGCAACACACATCGTCTGTGGCTTCGAGGGCCACTAGAAGGTAAGGGAAGAAGGCTTGGGTCTGGGTGCAGTGTAGACCGGGTTCCTGAGTGTGAATAATAATGTGTCCCCAAGAACGATGAATCCTCCACAGTGAACCGGCCCAGACAACAATGTCAATGTCCCAGTGAATTCAGGCGGTGAAGAGACGGGTCACGTAGATGACCTGAAAGCGCCCCAGAGTTTCACGACGAGCTGCAGTGCGAAGGACGCTGCTGAGTGCTCTCGTCGACATCGGCCACTGACCCCTCGTGGAAGGGGGAGGATGCCGTGGGTGTGGGCGTCTCCAGCTGGGCGTTGTAGACAAGGGGGATTGGGTCCATGCGCGAACAGGTGACGGAAGGTGCCGGTGGACAGGTAGAGATTAGCAGCGCTGGCTGCGCCACTCTGCCACGTGCCACCATGGACGTGGGAGTGGACGCGCGGTGCCTCCCCCCCAACCCCCCACCGCCTACATGGGGATGGGCTGATTCTTGAGGCACAAGATGCCATCGCTGGACTTGCCGTTGGCGTGCTCGCCATTGTTCCACCCCGTGTGCGAGGTGTAGCCTGGCATGTCCGTGATGGACGTGCCGGTGTAGGAGGAGGAGCGGCCCGCGTCACGAGCGCTGCCAAACTGCCTCCGCCGGCACTGTGACCAGTGGCGGGTGAGCACCACCTGCACCTGCACGCAGATCGGAATTAGTCAATCGACATTTGTTTAATTCATAGTCCTCGTCTGTTGATGACAACGTGTGGAATGTTCGCGAAGGCCCGGTATTCTTGGTAAATGGCTCGGGCTCTGGCTTGGTTCTGGCGGGAGTGAGCCGGCTCAAAGCTGTGCTGAAATTGAGCCGTTTTTGAGCGCGGTCCCAGCCATGCTCAAGATTTCCATGAGCTGAGCTTGAGCCGTGCCCGTGGCTGAGCCGCGACCGAGTGGCTCAGGCCTGAGCCGAAACTGTGTGAGAGGCTGAGCAAGAGGCGAGCTTTTCTTTTCCAGAATGCAGGCCTGGAGTCTGTAGGTATTCTCTTAGTTTTAATATGTTTTAGACTGCTTTTTGTATTTAGTTTATTGTCCTTCCCCCGCACCTTCGATTAGCACGGTTGGCTACGTATGGTGCGAAATAAGTTCAACGTACATACATATATACGTCTAGCCAACTGAAGCAGTCACAAATGCAGTCCACTCTTCCTTATTAAATGTTCATAATCTGAATATGTATTTATACTTAAGGAATCCAATGAGCTATAAAGCTCTTTTTCACAGATATCCAGTTGGGGCGGGTAAGAACGTTACAACAACAAACAATACAAAAACACGATAGCAGTGCAAAGTGCAAGAAAGTTAAACAAATAACCCAAGCACATACAAATGCAACTAAACCATCCCCATCCGCCCAGACACAGCCCACTGAGGTACTAACTTATTTTTTGGAAGTGACCTGGCCACAAATGATAGCTCAACAAAGTGGACCATCATTTAGACATTGAGAGCATGAACATAATATAAATCATCTCAATGTATGTTTTCTAAATGTGGAGGGAAACATTTTGGTGTGAGGGGCATGCAATTTATCCCCCATAGTTTTATCAGGTCAGCTAATCAGTGGAATCAGTTAGTTTTTTTGTACACATATAGATGACTGCCATTTTGTGTTATTTATGAGTCCACTGTAATCTTTTATATTTGTAATTATCTTAGTCTGTGGCTTCATTCAGACTATTTAATTTCATCTCAAGATAGTTGGTTATTCGATGGGTATTAATAGTAATTGTCATGCCTGAGGCATCGTCAGGCATTCAGACAAGAAGGGAGAGCCCATAGGGCCTGGCCAGCCAGTGGAATCGCCATTAAAACAAATGGCCGATGCCTGTGTATTCGATTTCAATGATGATTCGGATTGATATCGGCCGGCTGGAAATTACCTAGATAGCAGCTGGCCGGTTTGAACTGGAATCCCCATTAAAATGCTTTTCCAATGCCGAATCCATTGAATCGGCTCAATTCCACCCAGATTCTGGCATGGAATTAAGGATAGAGGGGAAGGCCAATGGGGCCTGGCTGTCCTCATAGAGGCCAGTCGAGGAATTGTCCTTCACCGAGTCAATTGCTGACGAAGAAGCGTCGAGCAGCTTAGCCTAGGCTATACATAAAGCAACTAAATGTACAGCATACACATGGGGCAGTTATGTATATAGAGTATGTGGCATTGGCGATAACCAAGCATATAAACAGCTATACGCTTAGTTCCTCTATGCAATCTGCTGCATATGAGGGTGGGCAAAGGCTCTGGCCCTACCAGCCTCCACTCACCTGTCCAGGCCCCATGGGCCCTCCCATCTTGCCTGAATGCCATGCCAGGAAGCTGTGTTTTATTGGGCCAATTCTGATCACCAGAGATCAGAAATACATTTATATGATGATAATGGCTTCCTGGAATTGCCCGGAATAACTATTCTAGATGGCTGTAATTTGCAAAGCTAAGCTAATTTCATCAACGATTTGCAAAAGTACCACAATCGAACTCCACTCATCCTCTGTGGCAGAATCCCTGTTAGAATCCCATTCCCAATGGCTAGATATTTTAACAGGGGAATCATCCATAGAATAAGAGTGATTCCTGCAAGAATCATACAGGGTGGAATCATAGGAATCAAATATGAAATTTAAATACACTGTGCGACCCAGGTACCCCTGGCACATGGGTCTGTCCCATGACCTCCTATCAGTGACCCTTCGATGTTTCACGTGGCCTCAAGGTGCACCTAACCTGGCACAGGCACTGTAGTGATTTCACCACCACTTAGTGGCGAACGGAAGCTGCTGTTAGTGTAGAATAAAGTGTACCTCGCCATTGAAGAAGCAGAATATTGTAGCAACGAGTAGACCCTGTGGAGCAAGAGCACACATGCTTAACGTTAGTGCAGCATTTATTATTTCAAGCATGCTTTCAAACTATTTGACTATCGTGACAGACAATATGATGAACTAAGAAACGTATAATACATATAAACATTGTATTTGTACTTCCAGATGTTCTAAGAGGAGAGCATAGCAAAACGATGAAAACATTTGAGAGTGCAATGTATAAGATACATTGACTTTAGGCAATACTTATCAGACAAATGCAGATATCATTTTATAACACTGCTGAGGTTTTTAGGAAATACAAGTGAGGAAGTTGGTCTAATCAGAGGAAGCAGAACTAAATGAGACTCATTTCCAGATGTATTGGTATAACTATTTACAAATGTATTGGTATACTGTAACTATTTACAAATGTATTGGTATACTGTAACTATTTACAAATGTATTGGCACTGTTTTCCTTTTGGCGTTCTCTGGTCTGACATTGGTGAGACTAGGCCCTAAAGAAGCTTGTCTCTGGTGTAGGCCAATCAGATTCAAAGACAATGCATATATTACCAGAGCATGTTTTGTTTGCATGTTCACCACAAGTACGTGTGGTTAATGCAGACATGATTCCTTGCAAAAGGGTTTCTGTTTGGTGTTTGAACATCTTAATACAACTGTTTTATTTCGAGAAAGGGTAAAAACCTATTCTTGTTTTTTTTTCCTGTATTGGTATAGCTGTTGGTTATTTGTAAAATTCTGGATGAATAATAATGTTGATTAGAGGCTCTGGATCACAACTTGACACAAGTGTGTGTGTGTGTCTGTTCAATTGTATCCATGAGTGTTACTATATTAAAATTAAAAGGTCAAATGTTTCTTCCTGGATAGAGGAATCACAACCCCCTCCAAAAAAGTTTTTATTTGGCAGCTACAGACCTAACCTGTGTGTTCCGGGCTGCACCACGCTAGTTTGGTGCTTCATTAACAACTTTAAAGTGAGTTGGAAGGAAGAAACCCCTGTGACGTTGATACAGTGCTGTGTTAAAAAATCATGGAAATCTATATGTCACGGTACAGCACTACTTTTAAATCTTGACTTAAAGCTTTCGTGACTGCAGGAATTCATATTCTTTGTGTCTTTCGGTAAAGCCACGGAACGTCGTGATATTGTTATTATTTTTTTCTAGCTACGTGGCTTTACCAAAAGACCCAAAGAATATGAGTACTACTGTTCTTGTGATATCACAACTTTATAATCATTTTTCTCGTCAATGAAGCTCAAAATGTGTTTTGAAAGGCTCAGGGCACGCAGTCTAGCTATAGTACATTATTTGGTGAGACTGGGTTGGCAGTGATGTGCAAGCACAAATAATAATACATAAATAAAAACTACAGAATTTTGTCAATAACACTCCAGTCCCACAAGATAAAAAAAATATATATAATGAGAAACGTTAATAGCACACAAATGGAGTTAGAGAGGTAGAGTGGATGAGAGTCGGAGACTTTACACCGAGTCGAGAGGCATTTGTTTTTCTTGGGTTGTATTTTATCTTTAAAGAGCTGTGGTCCTCTCCAATGGAATCTCTGAGCTGGGGGTTAAAAATACTCAGCCCCATGATGAGGAGCAGTCTTGCGAACGAACACTGTCGTACTCAAATTGTAAATGTTGTGGGTTTACTCTCCAACACACCGGGGTGTTGAACTAGTCACTAATCGGCACGTTTTGTTTTGTTAAAACCTTATTAAATGACTATGTCTGGTGGTGGCGGGTTTAATGACACATTTATATTTACGTGATCTAACCCAAAACCCTTTATTATGGAAATACTGTTTACTTCCAACAAAAGTAATAGTCGACTTTAGCCCTGTGAGCCATTCGGCTCTTGAATCGGGTGCAACTGCAACAAAACAAAAACATGAACAAGAAAACATCTCAAAGTGACTACACGCAAACAGAAAAAGCCAGAAAAAGCACCGCATATCAATGCTGTGTGCAAAAATCCCAGTGGGATGCAAGTCAAACAATAACAACCATAAGACAATTTAGATGAAAGTTATCAGTCTAACTCTGTATACTACAACAAACAAATCTGGCTAAACCAAAACGTTTTCGAAATCGCCAAAAAAAAGCCATAGGTGACATTGGCTGCATCGATGGGTAATGGGGGCGGCTGCCCAAATGTAATTGTTCTTTCACTTGTGTTTCATGTATGAGGGCAGGTAAATTGGTCCAAGTTCCATCCGTCCTAACTGAACCTTGTGCTTTTCTCTTCACATTATGATTTATTTTGATTTAAAGCTTTCGTGACTGTAGGGATTCATATTCTTGGTTCTTTTGGTAAAGTCACCACGTAGAAGGGAAACAATAAAATAATAAAAATATAAAACAATAAAATTCTCACGACGTTTCGACTGCAACACAAGCAATCATCGCCGCCTATTATTATGACGATTGCTTGTGTTGCAGTCGAAACGTCGTGAGAATTTTATTGTTTAACATTTTTATTATTTTATTGTTTCCCTTCTACGTGACTTTGCCGAAGTAACCAAGAATATTATGATTTATATCAAGCAATGCTTTCTTTCTGTTATCTCTTCCCCACGATCATTCCTGCTCGAGTTTCCTTCAACAAGTGACCCTTTTCTCACATTATTCCAAATCCGCGTGTCGGCCTTGAATTGCTCTCATTCGACTTTGATTCTCCTGAACGTTTCCCACCACTTCTTCGTTAACTTTTTACTCATAACAGAGGTTTTTTTTGGGGTTAGATCGCATAAATATATAAATGTGTCGTCAAACCCGCCACCACCCGGCACAGCCAAACCACAACATGTACAATCTGAGTACGACGTTTCGCCAGTAATTACAGCGAGCTAGTGGTACTCAGATTGTAAATGTTGTGGCTTGGCTCTCCAACACACCGGTGTGCTGCTGTACTAGTGACGAATTGGCATGTTCTGTTTACGTGACAACCCTTACTAGTTGGCTGTGTCGGGTGGTGGTGGGTTTTAACGACACATTTATATATTTACGCGATCTAACCCAAAAAACCGCTATTATGGATGATATTGGTCGTGAAAGCCTACGTGTTAAACTAACTTTTTTTTACCCATCCAAATGACCGTAATAATTCATTAGGGCTCAGATATAATCTAGTATTATTACGTGCAGAGATGATGATGATACCTTCCGTGAATTTAACTTTGCTTATTTCCGACAGATAATGTTCACGTATAGGATGTATTGGATGACTGATACGTGACGAACCATTTTCACAAAGATCACAGGAAAAAAAAACATATGCTGTTGGGCAAAGTGGCCTAGTTCCAGAAGTAGTTGTGCGGCATCAACTTCTGGTTTTATTGCCGGCACGATGCCACGGTCCACAGGGCAATAGCACAATTGAGACGCACGCTAACGGGCGTTTTTTTATTAACAATAGCTTGAAGCCCATTATATTGATTCTCAGACGGACAGTTTTCACCATGGTTCAGTAGGGAAACGTCAAATCATCATCATAAAAAAAAATATATCGGCTCCTTATTATCCCATCAAATGTAACTGAAGCAGTACTGGGCCTCCTCTAGGTCGACTCAGCCTTAAATCGAATCTTAAACGGTGAGCGAACATCGAGCACTAGCCGGGGAGACAAATGTGGACAGGCGTGGCTCCAGTCACATCCCCCGCCTCATGTGCCGTGCTCACAAACAGCACTCATACAGACAGTACACAGCACGTCGAAACTGGCGATCCGAGTTTGATTCCCCTCCATGGCAGACATCAGTGGCGAGTGACATTCGAAACCGGTCATGGGGGGGGTCTCCCCTAAAGATAGACACAGCCGTAGGTGAGAACCTTGATGCAATGTTCAAACAACTCTGGCGAGACAACGACGTCTGGGCATCTTTGGACTCAATGACCATTGCCTCAGAGTGTTCCAGAACTCAGCATGCAGCAAAACAAATCTGGTCTTTTGCGGCAAACCAATTCGGATTCTGCAACAAGACTGCCTTGCAGTCCACTAATGGTTCACACGTCTCGGGAGGCCGTTGTTGCTCTATGCACGCATGTTGAACTTCTTTTCGCACTTTACGTAGCCAACCGTGGTAGTCGGATGTTGCGGGGAAGGGCAACAAGCCAAACGCAAAACGCAGTCCTAAATAAATGAGCTTTCAATCTCGACGATTTAAAAGTGCCTACAGCCCTAGTGGCTTCCTGACATCGAAAGGAAGATCGTTCAAGACGGCCAAAGAAGGGCATCTGAAAGCACGCTATATGGTGACCGCTCTCTGTTCAGATTGGCCAGCCAAAAGCCAGCTGCTGCTGCTAGGATGACCGGAGTTCCCGCGATGATGGTTCACGCTCCCTGACGAGATCGGCAAGGTATCGCGCTTAATTGGTGGCGAGCGCCTTGATAAGAACATGTGACGCATTACCTGGTAGTTCACGAAGATCTGCATGATGGACTCGTACATCTCTCCGGCGACGTGGCCCTCTGGACGCCAGGGCACCAACACGTACTGGATGCCGAGCAGCGGCACGAGGATGAGGGTGGCGCGCACCGCCTTCATGTACATGTGCGACTCGGCGCGGTGCGTGTCGCTCAACTTGGTCAGGAGCACGCGTACGATGTTCAGCAGGAAGAACAAGTTTACCTGTGACGGCGGCAGGCGAGGGTCGCGCGCACGCGCACAGAGTTACGCACGCGCACAGAGTTACGCACGCGCGCATACAAGACGAACGCGCGCGCACGTGTGCAGTGTTGTATGTACGAGCAGCACAGGGGGAGAAGCCATCGTGCGTTTCTTGATCAGCTGCCTCCGACTTAAGGGAAGCAAATGCGATTGCTTGAATTAGCAAGAAAAACAGAACCGAGTCATAAAGCTAATCGCGGGGATTTGGTTTCAATCGCGTACCATTACGTGAATAACCTGTATGGAGGAGGGTGTCCATGAACATACGTATCTTAACGAATTACAGATAGCGGCTTCGGCGAGATCGATCAAACTATACGAACACTCACGCTTGGCAGTATACATGTTTTATCATATGAGCTTCGTCCATCTGTGTGTGCGCCGTGGTTTTGTGCGGCGCGTCGCATCGAAGGCTTGAGAGCCACGGGCGTTCTCCGACACCTCGGGTCGAATTGTTTTGAATGTTTCGGTCTTAGACACAGCTGAAGATCACCGATGTTTTTCTATAATAATTTTTTTAAGTATTTGCGGAATATGTGCCCAACATTTTAACCGTGCAGTTTTAACCGTTATCTAAATTTTAACGATTTAATAATGGATTGTGGATTATAACTTTTTTCCCATTAAAAGGCAGTGGTAATTACCACGAAAGACAAAGAAACACACACATGGTAATCCAGGAGCTGGAAGGTGGGATCCGTGCACCACTAAAAGATCAATGTGCATGAGACAGTCCGCTCACCTACAGGGACAATGGGGAGGTGTTTCTAGGAAGCAGTGTGGCGGCAAGTAGGTTGCTGACCATTCTGTGTGGAGATTGAGGGTTACCGCTTCATTCGTAGTTTTTTTTATGGGCATACGCGTTTCCTTTCACGTTAAAAAATATATACTAATTGCCCAAATAACCCGAGCAGAACTCTCCTGAAAAAACGTGTTGAGGCTTATTTACCCGGGAACGCGATGCCTTCTTGGACAAATGAATAATCTTTAAAAACAGGCGAACTTGAAGAACTTAACTCAACAGTTGTGCAATTCCCCAATTGCCAGAATATGCTCATAGCCTCTAATAAAACCAGGAGTTGAGAACAGCTGTAATAGTGAACATGTTATTTTTTTTACCCCAAGGCCACAGGCCTTGCCACAAAGTGAAACCCGGAGTTATGTCCACACTGCAGCAGCAGGCATAGCAATTTTTTTTCCCGGTCATTAAAAACCGTTCAATCTCCAGTCTCAACCCTTGACCTCCCTGCTCAGCCTCCAGAGCCTAAGTGCCTCCCGAAAGACGACTCAACCCACCCACTTCGATCCCAAGCCCTTAGTTCATGTTTACGCAGTAATTTCACTCAACGGTGCATTTCCTCTGAGGGAGTTGTTCATTTCTCAGCGGAAATTTTTTTTTTTTGCCACCGCAGTGTCAGAATAGCCTTGAGCCACGGGGAACACGCCGTTCTGGGAATGGCGTCAAGTGATGTGTGGGCGATGGATTTCATCACAGATAACACTTGTTTTGTAAGGCCAGCAGCTGCTTACGCTGCCGCAAGCATAAATGACTTTACACTCTTCATGCACACTCTTTGGTTCTTTCGGTAAAGTCACGTGGGTATAAAATAAAATAAATCACGACGTTTCGGGCGCAACACCAAGGGTCCGTCATCAGGTGGGAAAGCCCTTTTATTTGATTTTCTACCTACGCGGCTTTACCGATAGAACCAAAGGGTAAGTGGATTCCTGCAGTCGCGAAAGCTTCAAATGAACTCTTCGTGCGCTTCTTTGTAGCTCTCCGATGTGTGGGTATATTCCACGTAGCGCTCTGTGTGCTGGAAGCTTCTTGGGGACGTGGAGCCACACAGCACAACAGCAACAACCAAAAAAACCTAAACAGCAGTACTCGAAGTGTCTTTGTTTACCCGAGGTAGGGCCTCATTTGAGCCTCCGCATTGCGAGGGGATGATTTGTTATTTGAATGTATTCATGAATTGGAGGTGACCAGAGAGCCTGGAGAAAAACAACTTGCCACGAATGAAGGGAGAACAATCCAACGCCACACAGATAGGCCAGCAGTCTGTTTAGCTCGAGGCAGCAGATTTCATTTTCGCATACGCACCTTGAAAATTTCTCTGAGATATTACCAAAACACCAAACAATAGTACAATGCATGGGAAAGTGGCCACGTGGGTTTGACATGAGGCAAAATAATGGCACCGTCAGGTTTGAGGTTCAAATCCCAGACTAGGCTGCGTTTCAGTTATCCCCATCTTGATTGTGTGTATCTCTACCAATTCTCTAAAGTGATGCGGTTCGTTGAGTACAGGCAGATGCAGTGGTTAAATGATGCCCAGTGTGATACTAGATAATATAGAGGGGGGGGTATAGGTGGGGTTCAGAAGTAGCCAGGGGGACTTGGGTTTATTTGACCTTTTCCCTTCACGGGATGAATGTAACTTTTGCTGGGGCACATTGGAAACGGGTGGCGAAACCTGGAGGGAGGGTTGGGGTTATGGTGACGCACACGTGACATCAGTCAATGGAGGGAGCAAAGTGGCTCACGCACCCATTGGCTGAACGTGCGCATCATCCCGATCGGGATGTAACCCATTGTGTTGGGAATGATGAAGACATCCCCGATGGCAGTACTTGCACGCTTGTCCATTTACGACCATGCCCATTGTGTGGCGAGATAGGCAATCAGACACGGTTGGCTGAATCATCTGGGCCCTGAGTATTTATGCAGCATATATATACACATCAAATGGGAAGGGTAGGGCATACAAGGGCAGTACGGGGAGAAAAGGCCTCGTAGCTGGCATCGTGGCCGTGTGGGGGGAAGGTGGCTCTGAAATTGCCTGCGACAAATATAATTTATTAGGATATCAAAACCACAAGGTATCATAAGGAACATAGTACATGAACTGGGCGTATACCTTGTTCAAGGTAAGTGTATGTCCCTTTGTAGAAATGGTTTAAGTATCTGTGTGTCCAACTGAACGTGCATGTGTTGTGGGGAGTGGTGGCACGGTGGTTGGCGTACTGCGCTGTAACCTGATAGGTTGTGTTTGATGACAAATATCGGTGGCAAGTGGTGTCAGAACTTGTCCTGGACTTCCCCTGGATGTATTGCTGGCCATCCACCTCCTCGTATGCTATGCCGGCCTTTATAGGTGCTCGCTAACAGCACTTGCTCCTACAGTCTGTTAAGGCGATACGGGGGGGGGGGGGGGTCTATGCATATGTGAGCGTTCCTCACCACCAGTGCTGTCACGAAGGTCCCGTGCAGAATGTACAGCAGACTGGTTTCAGAGCTGATCCAACAGCTGTGCGCACACACACACACAGCATGCACACACATATGGCATTTGCTACAGCACAAGCGCACACGCACAGCACCGCAATAATACCTGCACAGATGGGGAGTCCCAACGAGATCGGGGTGGCACAAACGACGTGCTACTCCAGGCTGTGACATCGCACGGCATGCGCAAAACTTTAGTAGCTTTTTTTTTATGTTCCCCCAACCAGTCGTAATGTGCGGATACCATGGTGTAGCCAGATGCAGGAATTTCTGCTCAATCCTTGGCTTGCTTACCATCGTGCTAATACAAATGTAAGCAGCCGTGTGTAAAATTGCGGTGTACTGTTGTAGTGAACACGAACACTTCGTCAAACCAAATTGGCATTCCTACACTGTCCTCGAAATATATTTGAAACTAGACCTGCCGAGTCTGTTTTGATTAAAAGTTTATTTTTTTTTGGTTTGGGCCACAATCATTTGGCCGAATTGGTGTCGTTATGCGCCTCCTCCACCACACAAACAAATACAATTGTCGCCTCAAGTATTTACGTGCCATTTATAGTCGATTCGGCTTGCTGGTAAATTCAATAACAATTGTCAAAACCAAATTTGGCAATTAAAGATGCCATTTCGTTTGGAAGTACGTCGGACATCATTGGGACAAGATCCATGATGTCAAAATATTTAATCCAGGAATTCGGGGAGACTTCCTGAATTTTATTTTCCATGTTGTAAGTGACAATTTAACGGTTTTTTTATATATAGCTGTCGAACGATTGAGGTTTTTAACGACCCATTTGGGCACATCAATAATTACAATGTTGCTTGGAATGTCGTCGACAGGCCGACTTTAAAAAAAAAATCGGTGTATGAGACATTCTAACAATGAACATGCTTGGCATTGGAGGTTGGTGTGCGTCCTGTATTTAAAGAGCTTATTGTTGGGACTCTTGGGAAGGTTGAACATTTTTTTTTCTGAACACGTGGGGTGGTCGGGAAAGCGGCAGATGTACTAAGTATGCTTGTTGCTAAAAAAAAAACCTCCTTTCCTCACTTTGTCGAAGAGTTGATGTATGTTTCAAGTTTTCTGCCACATGGGGGTTTCCCCCCCCCCCCCACAAAAGTGGAAAAGCCATTTTCACAAACGTGTGACTCGCGTCACGAACATGAAATATCACGAGGAATTACAAATCGGGTGTCTATGGTTTAGTATTAGCTTCGAAGGGAAAATAAACTGCAACCCTTTTGATAAACTGTATAAACTGGATGAGAACCTGCAAACATTTTTTTATTTGACTGAAAAAAACCGACTCGTTCAGCAAGATTTTAATACGTGCATTTTGGGCCTTTGGAAATTACACTTCAAGTTGACGATTGCAGGAGTTTTTTTGGCTAGGTGGTAATGGCCATAGTCTATGTAAAAAAAAAAATCTCAGCTATTTCTGTACGTTTACAAGAATGAGTAACGTTTGCAGAATAAGCGCACGCGTGTGTAGGCACGTGCATTGCATGTGTGGGCGTATTAATCTCAACATCCTTATTTGTGTTTGAAACCGATAATGTATCACATCCACCCCCTTCCTGATCTTCCTCCCCCTCCCACCCCACCAAGCCCATTCCCCACTGTTCCATTGTAGAACATCTTGAGATGCGACTGTGATTTTTAGATGATTGATACATCCAAAGTCTCTATTCTTCTGTAACTGTAGTAATAGAAGCTGCATCGTCGACCAGTGGTATATGGTCGGAGCACCCATCGCAGGATTCGGTCACTTTCACAACACGCTCTCCAGGCTCTGTGGAAACGGGCTACGCCCAGGCTGCCAAACAGGAAGGGCTGGGTATCTGTGCTGGCTCAGGGCTTTGGTTCTCGCGGTTGTTATTTCAGAGGTGCCTGATTGACGGGATCACGGATGCACGCGTTTAACATTATTTTTTTTTCCTCCCGATAGCAGCGGTTATTAATGTAACGGTCACAGGCAGGACCGACACACGGGCTCCTACACTCCCTCCCGAGTGCTGTCTGTGGCTGTGATGTGGCCACTGTGCCCCCCAAAGCCCCCCGGGCCACAGAGAGTCCTCCCGTTCAAGCGTGGCCTTCGTGTGACGTGCAGCACGGAGCAGCTGATCGCATCGGTTGAAGCGCAGCCCTCCACTCCGCTGCACCCAGCAAGAGCGAGAGTGTTTTGGCCTACTTTTCCATCTTAGAAGAGGTGGGAGGACTTTACCCCAACACAAAAACAGTTTCTTCCCAATCTGCTGCTGGCCTCTTAAACAAGGCCAAGGGGCTTACACTGACTTTAACATTTTTACCTACAAAATGACACCTTGTCAATATTAACTATGTTACCCTATTTGTATATTTTTATTTTTAGATTGTATCTTATAGCTATTTTATCTTCGATATTCATTCAATTTTATATACTTTAGCCCCTTGGTGTTAGTTAGACGTTGAACCCTTATTATAGTAACACTTGTTTACCACTTATTTAAGATTTTAGATTCCTATATGTTGAATGTATGCACCATCCTGCCAAAGGAAATTCCGTGTCTGTGTGAACTTTCATGGCGAATAAAACCCCCCTTTCTGATTTCTGATGCGTGACCTGCTGTGACTGACTAACGAGGTGTAGCCATTTGTAATGCTGGGTGGGCAGAGGTGGTGGGAGTTTAAGAAACGTGCCCCACTGCCTCAACTTTTGGTGCCAGGAGATCGGCTGGAACCGGCGACGACTCGATTGTAAATCCAGTGTGCGAACCACGACGCCAGGACATCACCTCGAGCTGATCAAATGTCACTTGGAATAATCGAATGGGATTTTAATTTTGGTGAGCGCATTATTCGGTGAAAACATTAACAATGCTTACCTACGTGACTTTAACCGAAAGAACCAGAGAGAGCATGGATTCCTGCAGTCACGAAAGCTTCCAAATCAAGGTTAGCAATGCTGCCCTGTGACCTGTTGAATGGCTATAGCCAGCAAAAAAAAAACCCAGCACGCTTTTCGCTTGCCGATTGTGATTCCATGCATGATTCCGGGATGGCTTTTTGTTTTTGTGTGTGGTAATCAAATGTGGCACATCGCACTCACTCATCGTCGTAGTAGAGGGTCCTGCTGATGGTATGCAGGATGGCTGGGATGAACGGGAAACCTGTGGAAGGGGTTCGATTACGGTTTTTGTCAACTTTTTGCGTGCTCTCTTTTTTCAAGGACTATTCATTGTTAAGCCTTTAACGCCACACTGACCGGTACTTCCACACACGTCTTCCGACTGTCCGTTTGCACACGAGTCAAACGCGTCTGATAGTCTCATGGTTTGTACAAGCGTGCTTTTCAAAGGTCAGGGACTCTGCAATTACATAAACATATGTTGGTATTCTCTATTCACAGTGCTGAGCTAATCGGAGGTTGAGAATTAAAGCGCATTAATGTTGCCACCATGCAAATCGCCACACACCTGCTAATCATACACTGCACCTGGTTACCACACTGCGTATTGTTTTAACCAGGCGATAACTCATTGGACCAGGATTACCGTAGTCCCGTTTGCAAGAGGTGACGTGTTTCGTGTGTGACCAGCTATCTCAGCAGTGCACGAACCAGCTGTGTTAACTCGCCCGCCTGTAATGCAGGAGGCCGTGGGTTCGATCCCAACTCTGACGCCTGTATATGTGGAGTTTGAGTGTCTCCTCTGCCCGTGACCTGTGGATTTTTCTCCGGGTCCTCCAGTTTTTTCCCTCGAATTAGAATTGACATCACGCGTTTAGAGTATTTGGCTGCTCCGCATTTCCTCGTGATAAGCCACTTTGTTGAGCGATCATCTGTGGCCAGTACGCTTCTGCGAAATATCTATACAGCTCTGTGGGTTTCACCTGGTAAAATAAACGCGATTGTAGTTTGATAGTAGTTTTTAAAACACGCGGCCTCGCAGATTTTTTTTTTTGCTTTTGCGCAACACGCGGACGCGACCAGCGCACGGAACGCATGCCTTGAGGCCAAGCGCGGGGGCCTCGCGTGCCTGGGCCATGCTCACCCCAGCCGAGCAGGTAGTACCACACAAGCTCCTGCTCCTCCGCAAAGACGGCGACGACAACGAGCGTGTGCAGGTGGATGCCCTCGCACAGCATCCAGAAGTAGTTGCACCCCATGAGGTACTGGTGCAGGAACTGCACCACCCTGCAGCCCACCTGCAGTGGGGCGGGGTGGGGGGGGGGGGGGGTGACGGAGAGGGGCACGGTTGGCACGCGACGACTCGCGACGGCGCACCGATGGGACGGAGTGCATTGGGGAACTCGGAGGAGGGGTCACTGCGAGAATTGTCACGTGTCGTGCAGTGCAGCACTTCACTTGTCAAAGGAAGGCCTCGGTGATAACGTATTCCAAGGATGGTACTGCTTTTTGGGACGTTTTAACCAATTTCTCTTTTTTGTGTGTGTGTGTGTGTGTCCGTAGGCAATGAAAGTACGTTCAGGAAAACCCATTCACAGTGGGGGGATGATGCTCACAACTCCACGCAGAAAACGTGGGAAACCTTGCGGTGCCTTCCAGGTGAGTGTCGCACACCAGGCGGCTCGTTCGTTGCAGGATTCAACTCTGCCTCTGATCGTTACAGGCGCTCGTGTCCACCGCGCGCGGGCAATATTGTGAGATGTAACAAAAAAAAGAGAATGTATATTTAAAAAATGTTTACAGAGAGCGTAATGGAGGTTTATTTGGTTGGTGAGATGTTGGTCGAGATGGAGTTACAGGGGAAGGAAGGAAGGAAGGAACGGGTGGAGCAGTTGCACACTTAAGCGAGGCGAAGGCATGTCGGGTGCGGTGGTAAACAGAGGAGTCTTGGATTTTGTAATATTTACTTTAATTCGAGGCGGACTGGTCCGCACGGCTCCGTATCGATTGTTGGGACTTCAGTTCTGAGAATTTCCACGTGGAATCCCAGTCGATGGTCAACGCAGCCCAGCATTGCTCCAGGGCGGATAAAATGCGCGCACCGCTTTGCGGGAAGTTATTTTGGCGATTTTGTTGAGGGTAGACCGAGTTCCACAAGTTGTAGGACACGCTCGCGATTAAATGCAATGAATTCTAGATTTGAAGCTTTTGTGACTGCAAGGATCCATACTCTTTGGTTCTATTCGGTAAAGTCACGTAGGTAAAAAATAAAACAAAAATCACGACGTTTCGGCCACAACACAAGCGGCCTTCATCAGGTGAAGGGATCAGGCTGCCTCGAGGACAGCGCTGGAGTGAAACACAGCCACGCTCAGACCGCGACCTTAAGCTGTGTGCGAGGAAACAAGGTGCCTTGACAAAGGAATTAGCGTAAAAATTAGCATTTGATTGGCCGACTTAGCATAGAGGTGGTGTACATGCGGGTGCACATACCGGTTGGCGAGGGGGGGAGGGGGAGTTTACCTATTGATGGTGTGAAAAGGGAATTTTTAAGAGCTGCGAAAGTTTGGGGTACCACTACTTGAAAAATATACTGTACCATTGAAAATGAGTTTAATGTTTGGTTCGATTTAGAACATCTTTCCAATGGTTGCTTAATTTGAAACCAATGAGTTTGCAGAACCAATGAGTTTGCAGAACTTCTTTTCCTCGGCAGCTTTACATTTGGAAATGCTCGTTTAAATATGGAACTAAACTACAATAATCATTCGGTTGTAAATAACACGTTGAGGGAAGTCAACCGTGGGTTTTCATGTGTGTAAGCATTGGTTCCCACCCTTGTAAAAATGGATTTTTCCACCACCGGCTCAGGACCCGTAACGGAAATGAGCACGGAACCGTGCTCATTTGGCATTGGTGTACATTGGTACATTTATTTATCATAGCTAACACCGTGGATAAGTTATTAACACTAACATGCATACGGAAACAATCCGTGAAATATAGAATGTGAGATCATGTAGTTTATTCACCACCCCCCCCCCCACCCCCACCCCCCGCCTGCTTCTTGCACTTCTGAGTGTTGCCACATACTTGAGGAAGCAACACAAGCCAAGGAATTGCACTAGATTGAAATTACAGGGGAGGAGAAAAGAGGGTTTCGCTATTCTTCTGTTCTTGTGGCTGGCAATTTGCCCAGCAGTGAAATGCCAATATCGAGGTCTGCTGGGTACGAGAGGGGCTTCAGAAGAGAGTGCGTGTAGTGTTTGCTATTCCTCTGTTGAAGGAGCGCAGACCACAGCGGTTTACTATACATGGTCCACAGTTAGGATTGCATGACCGCAGTAGCAACACCGTGGCTTTTGTCTTCAATTTTCTATTCGCAGCGGCCTGTTCGTGTTCCGATGCTGTTTATGGTTACAAACCAGCCTTTTGGGTGCGATTTGAGTGGAATGCGGTAACCTTCTCGCGGGCCTACCTACCTCATTACGCGTTTTGTCCTGTCGCCATTTAGGCAAACCATCCGGGGCGAAACGGACGCCCTTAACCCAAACCCGTATACGTGCCGGGGGCGTGCGTCACTTACGGGGTTGGAGGATATGAAGGACTTGCTGGTCACCACCATAGACAGCAGGATGATGGTGACCACCGAATTGAGCAAGTAGGAGCTGAAGAGGTTCTTGTGCAGCGTGATCCTCTGACAGCTGAGGCTCCTGCACGACACCAGAGGGGAGGGGGGGGGCAGCCCACCATGGGGGAACGTCGACCAACGCAGCCTCTACTTGCCATTGCCTTTTTAAGAGCCTCCGTACGAATGCATGGTTTTCATGGGTGGTGTTTTTTTTAATATATATAGACGTGTCCAAATTTTATGTGCGTGCAAGTTGTGGGGAGAGAGGGGCTGCCAGACACGCCATGTCTGGCTTGAACATGCTGTGGCAAAACCGCTAGACTCACAATTGAAACGTTTAAATGTCAGCCAGGGGTCAACGCAGACCACAATTCCCCCCCCCCCCCCCCCCCCAAGGTTTTTGAAATGCGCACCACTACGCCACTATTGAAAATAGACGGGGTTCCAATAATCATAGAGCACGCTCGCAATACATGCATTGAACGGTTTGTGTGGAAATGTGTTATTAATGCAAATTACATACCTATGTTACATGTTGCACCTCCCATGAGTACAGTTGGCTACGTTACGGAATGAAATAACTGAGTCCTCCATGCATTTTGGGCTAATAAAGTGAGCAAAACTGTGCAAACGTTACAGGAGGAACAAGCATTAATATGAACCCGACTGCACAAAGACGAAAAAAACATTCGATTCTTGAATCGAATCGTGACGCAGAGCCGTGACGAATTAGTCAACTCTCGCCGCAGGATTATAAACGGATTACATGCCAAATTCCCAGCATAGGAATGTGGAATTCAAGCGATTAGCTCAGGCCCGCCAACAGGGATGAGCAAGAACCCCACGCCAGCTTGAGCAATGAGACTCGACGACCATCGCCTGCCCACGTCACACCCTGCGAGGCCAAGCGGGGATCTCCATCGCTTTGGCTGGTGGGCACAGGGGGCAGCGCTCCTCACTTGAAGTAGAAGAAGATGAGGAGGGAGAAGAGCAGGGAGACGATGGATAGGCCGTGGCCGATGACCGCCAAGTAATACATGTTCAGCGTGGTCTTCAGGGTTGTGGACACGCGGGAACACGCACACACGCACACAAACGCACACACACACCACACGGTACAGCGTGAGAACAGGCAAAACCCCTCTGCAAGTGAGGTGAAGTATGGTGAATGCGCAGCATTGCAATACCTTTGTCATCCTGCTGCTGGAGGAAGTGTCTCCAAGCCACGGGAGCTACACACTTTTAAATCCTAGATTGAAAAGTAATTTCTTTGAAATCGCTTTTTGTGTTTTAGTTTGTGTTCTCCCTCTTCCCCCCCACCCCCACCTACCCCGAACCTCTGATTAGCACAGTTTGGCTGCATACGGTGAGAAAGGTTCAACCAGCATGCATACATGGAGTTCTCGAAAGCCCCTCCAGAGGGTATTTAACCAACTCATCTACAGTGGCCAGATGTCTTGGAAGAGGTGGGAGAAACCCACACTTTATCCCACCGCACATGATTTGCTGATTCACTAACTCGTGTGTCTGCTTGTACTGCTGCGTGGACATCAAGGGCAGGATAATGTCATACACTTGCCCCCTGTTTTGGAACTGTGATGCCAGGAGATAGACAGAACCAGTCACCTCTGGTTTGCAAGACCAGTGTGCTAACCCTCGCCACTGGAGCATGCCTGCCCCCAGAGAAGTGAATAGGTTTAATTTATTTTAAGTATGGTGAACTTTCAGCATCCCTGTATTGGCAGCACCTGGCATCGAAAGTGAAGACTTTTCAGGGATGGGACAAACTGCCCATCACTGTGCACACAGCATTTGTATCTGTGGACAAAGGTATTTAAATCTGACCTTTGACTATTCTCAAGATATGCAGCATAAATACACTAGTATTTGGTTTGGTGCCACAAAAACGGCCTTTGAGAGGTGGGTGGTTGTTTTCCTGTAATGAATGAGGATAAATATGGATTATTTGTCTTGTGTGGGTGCTTCATCTGTGTGCATGTGACGAAGTGGTTACATGCTCTCTGGTCTACGTGAGTGGGTGTGTGCGTGTGTCCTTTGTGTATATATGATGGTGTGTGGCTGCACATTACGTTTGAGCGTGAGTAGTAGTTAACCCAAACACACATTGGTCTGTCCCGTGACATCCTGTCAACGAGCCTTCAACACTGCACGTGGCCTCAAAGTGCACCTAAGCCCGGCACAAGCACCATGGTGGCATCCCTGCCACTTCGTGGAGAACGGCGGTTATTGTGTATGCAAGTAAACGGTCAAGTTTCTGAAATACCAAAATAGGCGCTCGCAAACAGAACTTCACACGGCCCGCTGCTATAGCCTAAATGTGGGATATTTGTATTCGAGTGTGCGTGTGAAGGGCAGTAGCGCAGTGGTTGGCGCACTCCGCTACAGGCCCGGCGGCCTTACCTGTGCTCTCTTCTCGGTGAAGGCATTGCACAGCGTGTAGTTGGACCATGTCCTCTGGCTCTCTGGGTGGCGAAACCATGCTCCGCTGGCGTTGCAGATCTTCGTAACTTTCTCTGGACCGGGATAATGATGCACGTTTGAGTACAGCGAAGCAGCACATTGAGCAAGACACGTAGACGCACCGAGCCTTCAAATGGTTCTGCAGCACGTGCATCTCCGCTTCGCAACACCGCCACGACGATGAACGGTCCCTTCTCACCAAAGGTGTCAAAGTCCTTGAAGTATGGAGGGCAGAATTGTGAGGCCATCGTCCCCTCGGGAGTGTCGTCCCAGCACATCCACCCGTCCCACGTACGTGGGCAGAAGGCTCCTGGTGAGTTCATTTCATTTAGTTCATTTAGTTAGTTCATTTATTTGGTATAGAGCCCTGTGAGCCATTCGGCTCTTGAATCGGGTGCAACCACAACAAACAAAAAAACAAAAACACGAACAAGAAAACATCTTAAAGTGACTTTGTGACTGTGCAAACAGAAAATCCAGGAAAAAAAAACAGCAAAATATTCCTTAAAAAAGCACCGTACACCAACGCTGTGTGCGAAAAATCCCAGTGGGATGCAAGTCAAACAACAACAACCACAAGACAACTAAGATTGAGGCCATCAGTCTAACTCCGTACTACAATAAACAAACATGGTCAAACCAAAAAACGTTTTCGAAATCACCAAAATGAAGCCATAAATACAAAGTAACAGTGATCATAGGGGACTGTGACCGAATTTTTAACAGTACACGTGAGGACCACTTGATGGATAGACGAGTCCATGCCGTAGGAACGTGAATGCTCCACCACTACCTCGTGATCACCATCCAATGCTTATTTCAGCTTGGGGCACATCGACTTTATTTAAAATGCATACAGAACAACAACAACAACATTCAAATGAATGAATGTGTTCGTTTATATCCTCACTAGTACCCCATAGTCACAAATAACAACAGTCTTACAAAATTGATCAGGTAACAACTTCTGAATGATGTTGACGAGACCCTGGGCAATATTTGCATGGGATGAATCGGTCGAAACGCATGACCGTGACGATTCTCCCGACTTGGTAAAGGAAAGGTCGACACACTTTTTTTGCAAAAAAATTTGTCGAAAAAAATTACATTTGTATGTTTTTTTAATGATAATGGGGAAAGACACTGCCTGTTGATTTTTGGCTTTCCAAAACATCAAATCGGCCCTTTTAAAACTCGTGCAAACAAATATTTATACAAACACACACTGCACATGCATCCACACACATGCATATAAACACGTGCATACGTACACACGCACACACTTGTGTACACGAGTTACGTGGCAGTCTTTGTTTCACGGCAACAAACCACTCTCTCCACACTTGAATCAACCGTTGAAGCAGCGACTCTTTGAAATGAATTTAACATCATCATAATAATACATAACCACACCAACTAATTCAAATCCCTGGATACATTTAAGCACACCACAATATCAAAAATAATACAGTATCCCATCCTAGGCTTTGACTGGCTGATTCGGCAAGCATTGGTGTGGGGCTAACAACAGAAATCAGCACCACCATCTGCTCATCTGAACTAGAAGATACTTTGACTTGCACGTGAATTTATTCATCTCATCTCACCGTCTGCGTGTGGGGGGTCGCTCATGATCTTGTTGTAGCAGTCGTACTGCGCACGAAGAATATCCTCTGCGTCCACGTGCCTGGGCAGCTGAACCGAGGCAAAATCGACTCGTCAAATTAAATTGTGTGGAATGTGCACATAGGTTGAGCTGCTTTCACGCACCGTACGTAGCCAACCGTGCTAATTTGAGGTGCTGGGGAAGGACGGCAAACTTAAAATTAAAAAAAGCAGTTCTGAAGAAATGAGTTTTCAATCTGGATGATGATTTTTAAAGTGCATAGCTCCATTTTTGCTTCCTAATATCGGAAGTAAGGGCGTTCCGGGCAGCTGCAGAAGCGCGTCTGAAAGCGTGCAATACGGTGGACCATCTTTTGAACGTTTGGCGACTCGTACGATTCCCTGTTTAATAATTTATTTGAGAGGAATTTGCGTGAAAGTTGACCCCGGTCCAAACAGTTACTACGGTATTGCTGATATTACCAGCCGAGCAATACTGCGGTTACAACGTTTGCCCTACCAGCGGAAGTATGCGAGTTCAAATCTTTATCCGAGGATGTTCAAATGAGTATTGCTTCGTATAAAGTCAACAGTGGAATATGTTATTCCTGCAACTAAATGAGCCCCGCCAGTGTTAACGAATGTTTTTAGCACCGAGATATTACTTTTATTTACGAAGTTCCCTCGGGGCCAGATTGTTCCAAATATTGTAGGGTAAAGGCTCTTGCTCATATTTTGAATGTAATCCTTGCTCCCAGACCGTTGGGTAAGTGACCACCTCCTGCATCCTAAAGGTGCACCCCAAAAGGGTCTGTCAGGTCTCGGCAATGAGATACCTAAGTCTTGAACGGGGATGAACACGCAGTTATAGCTCCTCCAGGTAAGCCACTCGTTGCAGTGGCAAGTGCAAACCAAAAAGCCCTGAGTGTACATACTGCCAAGAGTATTTCTTCACATATACATTATTATATTACTATAGAAATGTTAGCTATTTTGTTATTGCGGAAATGTTCACATTTCAAACGACAATTAAAATTTCTACCTATTAATGATATCATTTTCTTCATTCATAAGTTAGTCATGATATTTTGTCCATCGGATTAAAACAAAATAAATTTTACGTGCATGCATACGCATATGCAGACAATGTACATGGGGAAATTACATATACACGAATAACATTTAACACATGATAATACTGTATTTAGATTTGGAGGCCAACCTATGAAGTGGTACTACGGCTTATAATGAAATTCATCCATACTCCCTCTGTGGCTGCACAATGGCAACCCATGGATCAGTATCTTTACAGCAATTTTCCGTTAAAAAAAAATACCCAAGCAATGCTTTTGCGCGTGGGCTATCATCACAGCCGGATGTGGTGCATGGAGCCTCGCACTCACCTGGGCGAGGCTGTATACCAAGGTGAGGAGCAAAGCTCCTGGGGTCCCTGCGCTCTCCATCTTTCTGCGGGCAAACAAAACACATCGCAGCGGAGTGTTGCTGTATGGTGACTCTGGACTTGAGTTTGGGAGGGCAAGACAAAGGTTTGGGGGGGGGGGGGAAACACGAATCACAATTTTGAAAAAAAATTAAACTGCGGTCAAAACTGAAACAGTTGGAGATGATGATTGAAGTGTGTTTTCCGTGCCACGTGGATCCAGAATCGTCAAAGTGTGTGTGACCTGAAATAAGCCAACATTCCTTTCTACATTTTGGTGAACCGTAATTATATATTGCCACTTGATTATAAGTTTGAAATATGTACTATAATAACTATTTACACATCAAAGCCTCATTGATTCACACGGTTCTTTTTTTCAGAAGGACTCTGGGAATAGTTGTCTAATATATATTCTATAAACGATTGCGTGTGGGTAGAAGCTGGAAGCCATTAAAATGAGGTAACACTGAAATTTCACAAATACGATAGATCCACAACCGACTTACTCAACTGCCTTCATTGCCCAGCAGGTGGGCATCGCACACATCTCTGCATGACCCACCAACCCAACCTACAAGTCGTTGGATTACAGGCGCAACCACGCTTGACAACATACTGGACGAAAGATAGAACGTCCATTCATTTTTGGAAGAAAGATGATTTTTTTTTTAAAGTTCACCAAAATAGAACGTTCAACTGTTTACACCTGCACTCACTGCATTGAGCCTCGGTGAAGTCATGTATACAACAGGAAGACAGCTGGGGAACAGGGCCCATTTTTAGGATACGGCATGGGGACAATGGTGCAGCTGCAAGTGCGAGCGTGTGAAACATCTTTTATGGATGTCAGCCTGTCCCCCCGCCAGCGACAGCAATTCCGGTCCCAACAAAGCTAGGCCACTCCTACTGAACCACAGCCGTGGAGTCCCAGCTATTTCCCCCAAAAATATTATTGGAGAAAGTCCCATTGTGTTGGAAGATGCGATTTACTAAAAGAAAAACATGAATATGAATACAGTCAAAAGTTGAAGTGCCTCCGTGTTCAAATAAACATTGGGCTCATACTCTCTGGTTCTCTCGGTAAAGTCACGTAGGTAAGAATTAAATAAAATAAAACAAAAATGAAAACAACTAAATTAAATCACGACGTTTCGGGCGCAACACAAGCGTCCGTCATCAGGTGGGGACATCCACAGCGAAAAAACAATCGCTTTACCGAAAGAACCAAAGAGTATGGATCCTTGCAGTCACGAAAACTTCAAATCTAGAAGAAACATTGGGCTGCATTGATGTCCACCGGTGGAGATGTGACTCAGCGGTTAATGCTCCACATTCATATGGCAGGGCCAGTCTATCCATAGGACAACCACTCTTGGCTTGACAAGCAGCGGTAATGTTATTACCATTAGCTGCGTTATAAACAGGTGTACAATAGGCAGTAAAAAATATATTAGAAAACAATACTGTGCATGACCATCAAGCCATTGGGATTTAATTTTCCACTCTTTTAAAATACAATAGCCGTTCAGGTTTCGTTGAATTTCTTAAACAAGAAATAGACTGCGAATAAGAATAATTTTAATATTTATTTATTTTAATGTTGGATGAAATCATCCCAGGCTGGATTAATAGCTCCTTTCTTGCCTGTAAGACAACATTCATAACATACTAAGAAAGCAACATTCAGGATAACATCTCCAGTTTTGACAATCACGTTGGCTTGTCTATATTGCATAACATTCTTGTTTTGAATAATTAATGCGGACTGCATCCTGTTTTCATATTTCAGCACCCTGTGAGACACAGGATACGAATCTCAAGGGTTTCATCCTGGTTAAATAATGTGCAGTATTATAAGTATATATTCATTGTTTATATTGTCCACCGTACACAATAGAAACTGTTGAAATTCACGGAGTATTGTAAGTGGTATTGTTGATGGTTGACTGGTGAGTTTTGACATTTGGTTAAAATACACGAACAGTGGCTAAGTCACAACATACTCGAATGGTACCTTTTCATATGTACAAAGAGGATATAGGACCACATTCGGCAGTGTTGACATTGCTTGAGAACAGAAGCTTAATTGACGGAAGAATGTAAAACTCTGCCAAAGCATTTTCAATAAATTGCAGCATCCGTGAATGTTCAGCTCGGTCATTTTACAGCCCCTCGTACATTGTTGTGCCATTTGTTGTCAGAAAAAAAAATAGTCGTGGTTATGCGTACATTAACCTAATGATCCAAACTGAATTACAACAAAAATGTCCAAATTTCATGGCCTCGTTTTTGATTGCAGAAAGCCGTACACATTGATTTGCGCAACATTCAGTGGACAGAGTGTTTTGTGGCCAACCATTTTGATGTATTATAATACAAACAGTTCAATTTAGCTGGATAGTTCCATAAGTACAGTAATGCCTTGAAGTGTAAAATCTGGTAGTGCTTTAAGAGCCTGTTTGATGTGTTTTGAAGCAGGAGATCATAAAAACCCTCGGGGAAATTCACTCGGTGGCTTAGTGAATTGCTCTGCCATGGTTAACCAGCCATCGACTGGGCCAAATACATGCTCCACAAGAGCGTCTGTTTTTTATTTGTTCCCTCCCAGGGAGGGCAGCTACCTGGGTTAGCTGTGTGTGTGCGGTTAACAAGTATACATCTCTGCTATTCATTCAGGTTAGGCTTTTTTTTTTGTTCTATTTCGAATAAAACGCTAAATTAATTTTGCACGCTTTACATCCAACTTGACTGAAGGCATCCACCAGCTATCTGAGATTAAATTAGCTGTTGCCAGCATCCATACAAGTAAGCCATAATAATACATCACGTAATATTAACTTGAGGATTTGACATGGTGGAAGATTTTGAAAGATAACAAGATTTAAGCCATGCAGTATACCATAAGCATTCTACGTGTTTAACAAAGGAAAGTATCACCCAGAATTGGGCCTAGATAGTGTTTTGATAGGTGACCACCATGCATAACAGGTGTGAGAGACTGCGGGGCTACGTTGTGGGCAGTGGAAAAATAGGGCACCGCGGTGATGAGATATTAACTACCTCGCCTGGTATACAGGAGGTCGTGGGTTCGATTCAGACCCTGCTGCCTGCTGTATATTCGGAGTTTGCGTGTCGCTCTCCCCGTATTCGTGTGGATGTTTCTCTGGGTACTCCGGTTTTCCCCTCCACATTTAGAATCAACATCACGCATTTAGAGTATTTGGCTGCGATACATTTCCACATGATGATAAGCCACTTTGTTGAGCTATAATTTGTGGCCAGGTCGCGTCTGAAAAACAGCTACGTAGCTCAATGGGCCTTTACCTGGTAAAATGTTTAAAAAGTTTAGTTTTCGTAAAATGCATTGTTATACTGTATCAACGCTCCTGGCACGAAACCGTATTGACTAGCGTAGTGAATTTTGGTAAAATAATCCCCATGACAGTGGTGTACATTAACTTCTTTAGAACTGCTTTTTGTGTTTAGTTTGATGTACTTTTCCCGTGCACAGTTGGCTATGTACGGTGCGAAAGAAGTTCAACGTACATACGTACGTAAGAATAATATTGTTATGCAATTGGGCCACCATAAGACAACACTGTGGCATGACAAGTGAAACTGTAAAAGATATTAGAGACTCATTATATAAATGGATATCATGTGTTGACAGGGCATTACATTCATTTTTATTTTCTCCCAAGTAATTTCACAGAACATTGTGGTTGACCAAGCAATGCACACATCATGTAGCAGGGAGCTGTGAGCTTGTGAAACCTTTGTACTTTAACTGCGGATATCCAGGACATTAGCCAACACAGTGGTAATTAAGCTGAGACACATGGGATATAAGCTAACAATGGATATTTGGCTTGTATTGCCAGCCAATGTTATAATTGTATTATAATGGTATTGTTATGATTGGTGTTTAGTTACACGTGTGTCTTTACAAAACACAACCTAAAACTAAACGTTTTATTTTACTACGTAAGGCCCACTGAGCTACATTGTATAGCTCTTTTTTCAGAAGCGACCTGGCCACAAATGATAGCTCAACGAAGTGGCCTATCGCGTGGAAATGTCTAGCAGCCAAATAATCCAAACGCATGCTTCTAAATATGGATATAAAAAACGGAGGAGCCGAAGAAAAAATACACGCAACCACGGGGAGAACATCCAAACTCCAAATATACCGGCGTCAAGGTTGGGATTGAACCCACGACTTCCTGTATACCAGGCAAAGTAGTTAACATCTCGCATCCCGTGGCGTCCTATATGAGCGCTTATCTGCCTTATAATGTGGCTTCATGACCATAACCGCACATACCTTTGTGATAGTCCCTTCAACAACTTGACTTGGGTTTTAAATAGGAGAGCATCCTGTTGTGGTTCTGACCAAACCAATTCACCATGTGTAGTCAAGATCAATATTTCATCATTGCCAAAGCCGTTGATGTTACCACACCTCACCAATTCTCCTTGCCTTCACTATGTGTAGTGTCAGATGTTTTAGGTCCTAACTAATAGCACGTGCCCCCAAGGCATCTAACGATGCATCATATGCATCATATGTTCAAGCTAAGTGGCTGAGGGTTTTGTAAACATCTTGGTCTTCCAAACATAAGCAGTCTCAACCACTGTTATTGTTATTTTAGTCGTCTCCTTTGTTAGATGGATATGGGATGATGCCACTCAAATGTTTTGAGTCGGTGATAAATCCTGAGTCGTGTTTAGGGAGACAATGTTGTCTGCTCTTTGCGTTATCGTTTCCCCCCCCCCCCACCAGACTTTCACCAATAAACATCAAGCTTCTGCCCTGAATTAACCACACGTGGCAAATGGTGAGAAATTAAAATACAGAACAGGTAGCTCTGTCTCCATTCTATTCCATTTTTGGATTTAGATCGCGCCCTTTCCATGAACTGGGTTTGTGCCCGACTGCTACTGCAATGCTGGGAATAGTCGGCGTGGCTCGTGTTTAACATGTCGGCTTCCTAACCTCTGCTTGGACCATGCCTCGTATTGTTCCTCTCGACGTTTTACTGATAATGTCGACGTCAACCGGGAAACATTGTGCGTTCCAAAAGCGGCCCACGGTCCTGGCCGGCAAAAATAAGTGAGACACCTGGAGGGGCTCGCTAGCCATGCACGTCCCTCTGGGAGGCACACGAGCAGAGGCTGCTGACAGAAGTTTGGCTGTGCAGTATAATTCATGATCAACCTCATGCGGTGCCTTGCCTACTGTATATACTTGCACTTTTATGGCAAGTTAGTTGGATATGCTGCGTTGGCAGTGATGCCCAAGCGCAAATAACGAAAAACTCAACACGTGTGTCACTAACACTCTCCAAAGGGAAAAATATATATTAGGCGATGTTTGGGAAATAGTCATGTTTCATACGCAAGGGTTGGTGGGTTACACGGGATTTGTGAAACTCCGAAATGAGGGCTTAATTCCAGCCCGATTGTATTCTGCGTTGGCGACCTGGAAAGATGTCCGCATCCAGCACACCACATCCAGTATACTTATTGCTATGGCTGTGGTTCCTAGTTACAAACCATTCTACAGTCTACCAGCGACATGAAAAGCAAAGTAAGTGATTAATGAAGCCCTGTCTGTAACCCATGGCTGTCTGATGGCTAGTAGACTGTAGTACAGAAAATATACTTATGGATCCATCTATGCGGATCACGTACTATAAATCACCTCATACTTGTTGACTTCTCCAAGTGATCTGGGTTTCTTCCCACATGCAAAATGGGTATTTATGAAGAGTGAAAAAGTATTATAGGTTGTACGTGGCTTTAAATATGTCCGCTCCAAGGCCTTAAAAATAAATGTTAAAGTTTTAGTTAACTAAAACTAACATAACAGTATTTGCTACATGTAAACACAACAAAATGAGCGTGTACCATATATGGAACGTGGTATTGTTTGGTTCATATAAAAACAAAATTAAATACACGCATGTGCTGCATTTTTTTCCCCAACAGATTTTGATGGCTGACTAACAAGGGAAATCCAGCAAAACACAGCGACATACACTGGTACCGCTGCCTTTGATTGAATACAGTTTTTATTTTAATGGACAGGAAGTGTATTTCCCCCCCATCGACGTGTCTTTATATTGATTGCTATTCACTAACCCCATGTACGTGTCACGGAGTGTTGTTGTGTTCAACGCAACAACTAAATATCTCATCGATATACGATATATACTGTGAATCATTTTCAGAACACACTGGGCAGCTTACCGAGACAAGCATGTACATATATAGCTTGAGAAAATATAGTAGTTGGGCAGATTGTATCAATTTGCAATGTGAATGTGCAGACTATTGAACTTTATCAAAAATTTGATTTAACACAAACACTTGACAACGTGTTGATTTCCACGTGCAGTTCACTATTGAGTGCATATCATGACGCAGCTAACATGCACGTTACCTTCCTATACACGTGTAATCCACACGTATAGTAACAATGATACATACAAGTTCACACAGACAATACTTTGCCCATTGAACTCACAACACAATAGATAGGACTGTGATACCAAAAGACCACCAATGTACTGCAGTACTATATAATGAATAAGTCTTGATGTACACCTCCTTGTCGAGCCACTGCTGGGTGAAGGCCTGCCTGTAGTCACGGGGTGTGATTTCCATACTTCACCACCAGGGTCAGTGCGAGTTGGTGGAGGGGGGTAGGGGGTGAGAACTGGTTCAGATATTTCATTTCAGTTTCATTCATTAGGTATAGAGCCCTGTGAGCCACGCGGCTCTTGACTCGGGTGCAACCGCAACAAAACAAAAACATGAACAAGAAAACATCTTAAAGTGACTACACGCTAACAGAAAAATCCAGGGAAAAAAAAAACAGCAAAATCTTCCAGATAAAAACCACCGCATCTCAACGCTGTGTGCAAAAATCCCAGCGGGATGCAAGTCAAACAAGAACAACCATGAGACAATTTAGATTAAAGTTATCAGGCTAACTCTGTACTGCAACAAACACAAACATGGCTAAACCAAAACGTTTTCAAAATCACCAAAATAAAGCCATAAAAACAGTGCAACAACAGTGATCGACCTAGGCGATGCCAGAACCGATTCAGACAATCGTCACTGGTCTTTGCCGTGAGCGGTAACCTAACTGGTTGGCCGACTTCGGGGCGATTTCTCGCCACTGATGTCAGCCGAGACCAGAATTCACTCAGGTCGTTCGGTTAAAATAGCGCCACTGAGCCACCCCTATGTAATAATAACAATATATGATGCTTTATAGTGTGGTCTGCAATAGGTAACTCAATCTCCTTAGGGTGTATAGCCTCATATATATACTGCATATTATACAACCTTATAAAATACATTACAAAACCCAAGATATCTTATGTGCAATGGTGATTGATGCATTTTAGCCAGGTGAGAGACAATTGAGATTCGTTATCTCATTTCTAAGAACAGCCTGGTTGTATAAGACTAATATAAAATTGACCTTATGGCGAGACCCCGGGGTCTCATAAGCCCCCGGCTCTCGCATAAACATTCTATTATAATGTAAACATTATATTACGTATTATATATAATGTAAACATTACATTATAATGTAAACAAAAACGTTGCTCTTTTTCACCAATGGGTTTGAAGGATGGTGGCAAGTGTTGTCTTGTTTAAAACTGAAAACCACTTACCTGAAGCACCTCTATTTAAATACACTATAGAAAAAAATCATTTACACCCCTCTGTCAATCATCGCGTTTCTCAGTGTGGATTTGTGAACACACTTTGTAAACAGTACGTAAAATGGTACGCGTTTTCAATGCGCTGTTCATATTGTAACAAGCGTTTATACCAATGTTACTCTACAGAGTAGTGGGTCACCGCTCCTCTTATCCGCATTGATACGAGCGGTATGTGGGGACTATGGCTTAACCGCAAAAAAACCCCTTTCTGCAAAGATGCATACGGACAAGAGAAGTAATAAAATTATCAAACAGGAGGAATTAACGGTGCAACGCATCTCATCTGATAAATGTCTGCAGGTAATAGGATTGTCATCGATTGATCCTGGCTGCAGACATTCGTAGGTCACAAATAATCATCAAGTGAGCAGTTTCACTGTGTTATGCATACCGTTATGACAAATAAAGGACTTAAAGTCGCGTAGGCAGTTTAAGCAGCTTTGGATAAGACTTGTTATGATCCTGACCATATACCCGAGCATGGAGTGCAATTCGCTTGTTCAGCGCTTCTGCGCATTCGTCCTCGTGTGCTACGCTTGGACGTGACATGACAACAGAATGACCTGCGCCAGGTGGATCGCGGCGTTTATGTGCGCGGTGGGACGGAGTCGCCGCAGAAGAAATTAACTCATTACGATTTTGACTTCCGTTTATTCGGGACCCCGGGGACCCGCCATGAGGTTCATACATATCGACAATGTATTGTCAGAGAGCAACGTTTTAATGCAGTACGGTTAGTTAATGCTACTCATTGATATAAAGACCCAGATCTTTCCTCTTTCGACAACTAAAGTGTGAATGAACACACACTTACACACACAGGTGTGTTTGCACGCATTACGCCAAGGGAGAGTAAAATCAAACGCGTAAATAAAATACAGGTAAACTAAAGCAGCATCTCCTATACCCACCTACAAACTTCACCATCGAAATCATTATCATTTGTGGAAAAACCTCCCCACCCCCCTTTCTAAACCATTGTGTATTTGACAGCACGCGTTAATTCATTTGACCGAACCACCCACACAAAACGACAGAGAGACTCGCTCACTGACGGGGGCAATGCAAATCTCCATGCCCTCTGACGGTCACACCGCACCAATCGATACTCACGTGGGGAGGAGAGGGGTCGGATGGCGTCCAAAAGGAGGGTTTCCCTACCGCCTGGAGTGCGCCCTGTGTCTCTGCGTTGGGGCGGCGTGCTGCGGAGCTGTTATCCTGGCTGCAACTGAGCCCTCGGTCCTTTTGCCCCTGGAGTTTGGTGGAGGGGAGAGTGAGGAAAGAGGATGGGGTGGGTGGGTGGGTGGGAGGTAAATGTCCGACATACGTCAGTTTCCCCAGGGTGAACTTTCCGTGCAGTGCAACCTCCTTACTGATCTCATTCTGTCTGCGCACTTTGGTGGCGTTTTTGGGCCAGAGTTGATCAAACCGGGGGGGGGGGGGGGGGTTGGTGAGTGGTAAACGCATGAAAAAGCAATATATATAACTGGTTACCGGTGTGCGGATTTATCTAGAAATGTCTTCGTTTTATTAGCAATAACTCATAACGGTTCTAGATCTTACAGGAAGCCCCATAGTTTCTTAGTCGAGTTGTGCCCATATAGAAATGTAACAAAAAAAGGTAACGTTATTAGTTTTTTTTTCTTAAACTGAGGGACGGTTCACCGGATTGGAATCCAGATATCGCTGCTAGTTCGATTCCATCTCTAGGCATGGCAGCTCAAACAATGGGGTGATTTTCTTGAATTCCCTTCTTACTCACGCCTTGCCCTTCTGTCCAGCCAGCAGTGTAAATGGTTTCACCACAGTCGATCGACGGACCGCCCACGGTAAGATAAAATGTCGACATGCCCACCCACCTCTTTCCAGATGCCAGATCATCATGGAAGAGTAGACCAAATACTGTGTAGAGCTGCCTTCAGTGGCGAGGTCATTCTGTCACCATCAGCGTAAGCAAGCGAGACAATTTCCGGGGTTTACCTGCTGAGAAACGAGGGCATAAAAAATGTACCACGCGGTAAACCGTGGCCGCCGTGCTGTTTGTAGTCCGTGCGTGCCAATCAGCGATTCACTGAAATTCCACTGTGGTTGAATTCACCTATTCCATTGGAGCAAAAATCTGAATATTCCGTAATACGTTGACGTCAAGGCAGCAATGACCTTAAAACCAACGTCGCAGTCCTCTCTACGTACAGGTGCCCTTAAGAGCTCATATATAGTACTGTAAGCATGTTTTCACGCGTGGCACGTGATAACTGTCATTTAATGGGTATAAATATGTTCGCAGTATATATTCGCACCTCCGATGAGCACGGTTGACTACGTGCGGTGTAAAATAATTTTGATTTAAAGCTTTCGTGAGTGCATGGATTCATCACCTTGGTTCTTTCGGTAAAGTCACCACGTAGAAGGGAAATAATAAAATAAGGTGTAAAAAAGTTCAACATACGAAGGGTTAGTGAATGAAGAGGTGTACACATGTTCAAGCGTCACTCTGTGCTCATGCATTAGCTTTAAGACATGATTTGCTAATGTCCCTGGAAGTGGCCAGAACTTTCCAGTTAGGGTTTTGGTTGTTGAAACTAATGGTCACGATTTTTGTTGAAAAGTCGACCGAAGCATGGCTTTAAATGTCATGCCTTACAATCAGTCATATATAGATGTGCATCAACGCGTCAGTTTCACCAAATAAAATTGACACTATGCCGTGTGCCATACAGTATGTATTTTCAGACAGACCTTATTGTGATACAAATGTACGTGTTAAAACAATAACAACATATGTCTCGCTAAAACTGAAGACTTTGGTAAATCACAGTACCCTGAAAGGAATATATAATCGGTAACCCTTTGGCTCATGGCCTTTCTTCATAGAATCGATATCACTGTTTTAGAAACGTGTGTATCAACAAATCAAATACTGTACACTGTAATCAATTAAAATGTCGTGGTTAAAAGTGTCAGATCGATGCTGGATTTTACCCAATTATTAAATTACTTAATATTGAAGTACACAGTATTACTAACCAAAGCGGACTGAAACTCATGGAATGGTTATAAGACATTCACCTTAAGCCTGCTGCAATAATACGACTTTGGTGGACATACTTTAAACCGTCATGCAAATAATCCTCTTGTCAACAGATACATTAAGGCATTTAACATGCATGATGGCCTAAACCCAGTGCACAAACACACATTTGTACAGACTGACAGTTGAATAACACACTTAGCCATACGCAGATAGAAGAAAAAAAGCATGATTCTGACACAAATACTGAATAAACAGTACACTGCAGAATATAATATAGTGGGGGGGGGATATTTTTTTAAAAGAGACCTTTTTAAAAGACGGTGAGAAAAGTCCTGCAACACCTATCTCTCTCTCTCTCTGTGGCAGATCGCTATTAAAATTAATGTGTTGACGGTACAGAATAGGGGTTTCAAAATACAATGGCAGATGTTCTGGTCCAATGTTTACATGATGCATTTAAAGAAGTTCATAAATAATCCGTTATATAAGCGTAAGTTAATACGAAAGATGGTAAACATTTGACACCTGCGAGTGCAACAACATCATACTGTGACTTAACGATTGACCAAATTCATCTATTCTCTGAACTGTAATCACATGCACTATAAGTATAGATGCTTACATTCATACCACGCTTTTAATATGACATAAGGTCTTAGAACCACATAAGATGGAACCCTGGTATTTATACCGAGGATTAAATAACGCGTTAATTCATGTCATTTTACTGAGGCTTTAACAGAACGTGGATTTACCGATGGCCACGGACGATATATTTTTTGACAAGCGCCACTTTGGCCGTTTAATGTTTGTGCATGTGACGCCACCGTGTGGTTTTACAAGACCAATATGAAGTCATTTTTATTGTAACGCTGGTCGACAGCCAAAATGCTTCCGAAATAAATGTAGTCCAACTTGACTAATTCTGGGTCACTGAGGATAACAAAA